TAATAGCCAATACAATGCTAATCTGCTCAGACAACTGCTTGAGAATTGAAGGCTAAACTCACCAAATGTCTGTTATTTCACCAGGAAAATGCACATGTGCATGTCTATGGTAGCCTTGGCTACAATCCATAACTGTGACTTTGAATAAAAGTGACAAAAACCCTTTCCATCTATATAAGAAATATCTGCCTAAAGCAGAGTCGATTGTACGATTCCAACTATATCATGGCACCCGCCACAAAAAGATGCAAAGCTAAGCCAGTTGTTCCCATGAAAACATGGGAACATATGGTACATGTCAAAATAGGGATTGCATCTGACATTATGGTCACTGAAATGTCCTCCACATGTCTACCACAAAACGTTTTGAAAGCATTACTAAGGCCCTAAATGTTGTAACGTTAGTCAAACAGCTTCTGAGTAAGAGTCGTATGACACTCTTGGATATCATATGGCGTATAATGAAAGTCCAGACGTTGGATGACAGAGTGGGTTTATTCCAATTCTGTTTCCCTTTTTTTTAAGTGTGTGCATTCTACCAATGACAACATCATGGCCTAACTTAAGCCACTCTGAAAGACCAAAATTCTCCAGTAGTTATAATATCGGCCTTCATTCTGGTTATCACATGAATTGCAAATTATAACATGTTACGTCTGTGTGCAGTCCCAATGAATGTCAGACAATTACACATATTGAGCTCACTCGTTTGACAAAACGGTGACTTGGATATAGCACATTCAGGGAAGTATCAGGATTATCATTGACACACACATACATTACACTTTTCTTCACTCACAACAAAATATAAATGAAAAAAATCTTTATTTCTTCTTCCTTCATGATTATACAAAAATAATTACCATCATCATATAACTCTGTACATACAGTTTCATTGCACACCATAAACCGTATTCGACGTAACAAGCGCCCCGCTCTAATAAGCGCCCACGCGATATTTGTTAAAATATTGGCAAGTGAACAATCCCAAATAGCACCCCTTCCGATTGATCAATGTACACAAGACATTTATTCGTGTATAATACGCACTCGTGTGTTATATGCACCCTTAATTATGGGCAATTAAATTCTGGAAAAATATATCTGTCGTATATAAACAGTCAGGCCGTCAGCATAAACCACGAAATTTATCTTTCCACTGTTTTTTGCACCAAAATAATATTCTAATAAGAGCCCCCTATTTCTAATTTTGAGAGCGCCCTGGTCGCTTGTTACGTCGAATACGGTATGTACATGTATCACAAGCATCAAAGAATCGAAGTCATTTCTACGATATATTTCCTTCTTCTATGGAGGAATACATAGCATCTCAAACTGTTCCACCAAATCAAACATAACACTGTCTGCAGGAAAACCATGATAACTCAAACCCCATCATCCCAAAATATTGTCTGAGGTGATGGAACTTTATGGTCCTGAATAATTGAGAGCTATGGTCACATTGGTACTTATATGACAAAACCTTATGGGCGCTATGGTCACATTGGCACTCATCTGACAAAACCTTATGGGCGCTATGGTCACATTGTCACTCATCTGACAAAAACCTTATGGGTGCTATGGTCACATTGTCACTCATCTGACAAAAACCTTATGGGCACTATGGTTTCATTGGCACTCATCTGACAAAAACCTTATGGGCGCTATGGTCACATTGGCACTCATCTGACAAAAACCTTATGGGTGCTATGGTCACATTGGCACTCATCTGACAAAAACCTTATGGGCACTATGGTTTCATTGGCACTCATCTGACAAAAACCTTATGGGTGCTATGGTCACATTGTCACTCATCTGACAAAAATCTTATGGGCGCTATGGTCACATTGGCACTCATCTGACAAAAAACCTTATGGGCGCTATGGTCTAACATTGGCATATGCACTCTATTTGTCAATATATTTGATGGTCCTTTGGACTTGGAGTCAACAAGGGTTTGCTCTATTACACAAATACATTACACTAATTTCATAACAAGCATAACTGATGTAGTGTCTATAGATCCCCTGGACTGTAATCATCATATGGGATTCAGCTGCATTGGTCATTACTGAGAAACATATAAAAAACATGTTCTTACATGGATAGTTGTGGAGACAGTTCACAGAGACATTTGTAAAATCATGTGCAAAAATTGCATCATATTCACAGGTAAAAACACATCTCTATTAAATAAAAATTATGAATTTGAGAAGATTAAGGAATGTCCAAAGCGTTAGTGTTAAAACTAACTTCACACACTTCATATGTTTATTCACATAATGGTATCAGTTCCACAGCTTTTTAAACATTTTCTATCACTTACCATTGGATACAGTTCTTGACTCACACTTAAGTTAGGAGATGAGGGTCCAAATGTGACCTACTCATTTTTAATGACGGAGTTTCAGTGAATACTTAATATGGTATGACTTGGTTTCAACGACACAATCATAAGATAGACACAATTTTATGGATAACAACTTCTTTCATACTGTATGAGGGACATAGTGCACTATGTCCCTCATTCAGTCTTGCTTGACAACAGTATAAGGATCTATACCGAAACGTCGCTTTTTACAGTATGAAAGAAGTTGTTATCCATAAAATTGTGTCTATCTTGTCATCCGCCAACTTCTAAGTAATGCCTATCAAACAAGTTGACACAATCATGTTTTCCAAAGTATGTTTGATTGAATACTTTTGTTCCATGTCACATATCTATGCAAAGTTAAGGTTTAAAATATCATTTTGAATTTTTGCTTTTACATAATAAACATACAAAACATATCATTGCATGTACAACTTTAAGTTGGTTGCACAATGAAGACCGTATGTTGAAGGGGACTAAAGGAAAACCCCTTATCATGGAAGCAAAAATTACTTTATCATACAAACAACCAACACTGGCAGCACAAGTGCATGCGGCACACTCTCCGTGTTTTCAGACACCTTACCAATTAACGGCACCCTCACTTCATGACTTGAGCATTATGTGCAGCCACTTGTGTCAAAATCCTGGATCTGCCTCTGACCTACATCCAACTGCAGTACAGGAAGGCATCAGAAATCACTGTCCTATGGTTTGATCATGCTGCATCTGACAATGTTGTATTTCACTTCAATTCTTTTGAAATATGGAAAGGTAGTTATGTGTCCAGCATATCACTAGAGGAAGTCAACGGTTAGGGACAGGTCATTTATTAGAGGGATGGGTAAGTAAGATGAAATCAGGGGAGGGTCACCAAAAAATATCAGTCTCTATTGGAGGGTCATAAAAAAATAATACACATATTCGGGGAGGGACATGAAAGAATGGAAAGTTTAATAAATAATTATCTGCTTTTGCATTTTGTCTCTTCAGGGAGGGTCACACAAAAGATGAACAAGGACATTCAAAATATGACAAACATTAGGGGAGGGTCATTTTTTTATTTTTTTATGTACGTCAGTGCATCAAAAACCTTTGGCCCACCCAACCCTGTAATAAATGACTGGTCCCCGAGGTGATCTCCTGGAGACAACATCATACTTGACCACCTTGTGATGAATGTTTCACTTCAATAACAAATATTCTGCAAATACAACCTCCATGCTCTTCAGATCCCTACAGTGTCATCCACACTTGAACCATCACTTCACCATCAGTTTCAATTTCCTTGCATTATCTGCAGGACTTGCATCAGCATCCAGAATTGTGGCGGATTCACATGATTAAATCAGTGGAGGGAGGGGATCTTCAATTTCAACCGACCCATGAAGATCCAGGGTAGAATGGGCAGCACACATATGAACAATGGATACTGTGAATCACCTCCAAATGCCAACCTACAAAGAGTCAATGAGGTCATTACCATCATAAGGGACCCATGAAGATCTGGGTAGAGAATACATCTTCAGCAACCCATGCTTGCCGTAAGAGGTGACTAACATGATTGGATTCGCCAACTTGGTTGATGCATGTCATCATATTCAAATTGCATGGATCAATGCTCATGACGTCAATACCTGGATTGTCTGTCTAGACTTGATTGTTTACAAATAGCTGGAATATTGCTGAGGGTGGCATCAAACAACAAACAAACAAATAATTTCAACCTCAGTTTGGGAGGTAGGGGGTCTACTCGACAAGACGCACAAGGAAGTCAATACTTGCAAGGAGGTTCATATGTTATGTTCAAGGTGACTCCTCTTCCACCTTCTCCAATATCCACTGTTCCTCATCCAGAAGCAGTAAGTACACTGTAAGTTTGGCATCATCGAACTTGTGTAGTCAGTGATTATAGCAAAAATACATATAATATTATCTGTTGACATGTAGCCTGGTGATTCTTTTACAATGTATAATACAATGACCAATAGTGTAATATCATGGTGGACTTCATCCATATTCATTTGAATTTACCAGAAAGACATGGCGTAAATTACAGACCCATAGATTCCTGTTCTGCAAAAATATAATCACACTATTTACAACAGCGTATCATGGAAGCGAAGCAAGGTCAATAACAGTTAGCAATAAAACACAGTATACATCATTATCAGAGCCGGAATACAATTTATACATTGCGTTATTCATTTAGATGTAGTAGTCAAAGTTCTTTAAGGGTTTCAGATTCAACCTTCTATGGAGGTATCCTCGGATCTTTATAGAGAGAGGTATTATATCGGAGTAAAAGATCTCATTCTCACAGTTTAATGGGGACACTACATCAATGAGAAGTGAAAACATCAATAGACAAGATTTTTACCATTGTTATACACCTGTATGCCAATGTATACCAATTACGTGGATCGATGTTTATGATTTGAATCACTGGATTGCCTGGTCCAGACTCAATTATTTACAGCCACCATATAGCTAGAATAATGCTGAGTGTGGTGTTAAACAAAAGACAAATAATTAAAATATCCCTCTTTGAAGAGATGTAGGTTTCCATTCACAACACATTTGCAATTACTTATCAGTCCCTTAACACAGTGCTGCATCTTCCCACCCACTATGCTGCATCTTCCTACTTTGCTGCATCTTCCCACCCACTATGCTGCACCTTCCCACTATGCTGCACCTTCCCACCCAATATGCTGCACCTTCCCACGCACTATGCTGCACCTTCCCATCCACTATGCTGCATCTTCCCACCCACTATGCTGCATCTTCCCACCCAGTATGCTGCACCTTCCCATCCACTATGCTGCACCTTCCCACCCACTATGCTGCACCTTCCCACCCACTATGCTGCATCTTCCCATCCACTATGCTGCACCTTCCCACCCACTATGCTGCACCTTCCATCCCACTATGCTGCATCTTCCCATCCAGTATGCTGCACCTTCCCACGCACTATGCTGCACCTTCCCACCCACTATGCTGCATCTTCCCACTATGCTGCACCTTCCCACCCACTATGCTGCACCTTCCAACGCACTATGCTGCACCTTCCCACCCACTATGCTGCATCTTCCCACTATGCTGCACCTTCCCACCCACTATGCTGCACCTTCCCACCCACTATGCTGCATCTTCCCACTATGCTGCACCTTCCCACCCACTATGCTGCACCTTCCCACCCACTATGCTGCACCTTCCCACCCACTTTGCTGCACCTTCCCACGCACTATGCTACACCTTCCCACCCATGATGCTGCACCTTCCCACTATGCTGCACCTTCCCACCCACTAAGCTGCATCTTCCCACTATGCTGCATCTTCCCACTATGCTGCACTTTCCCACCCACTATGCTGCACCTTCCCACGCACTATGCTGCATCTTCCCACCCACTATGCTGCATCTTCCCACTATGCTGCACCTTCCCACCCACTATGCTGCACCTTCCCACCCACTATGCTGCATCTTCCCACTATGCTGCACCTTCCCACCCACTATGCTGCACCTTCCCACGCACTATGCTGCACCTTCCCACCCACTTTGCTGCACCTTCCCACTTTGCTGCATCTTCCCACTATGCTGCATCTTCCCACTATGCTGCATCTTCCCACTATGCTGCACCTTCCCACCCACTATGCTGCATCTTCCCATCCACTATGCTGCACCTTCCCACCCACTATGCTGCACCTTCCATCCCACTATGCTGCATCTTCCCATCCACTATGCTGCACCTTCCCACCCACTATGCTGCACCTTCCCACCCACTATGCTGCATATTCCCACTATGCTGCACCTTCCCACTATGCTGCACCTTCCCACCCACTATGCTGCATCTTCCCACTATACTGCACCTTCCCACTATGCTGCATCTTCCCACCCACTATGCTGCATCTTCCCACCCACTATGCTGCATCTTCCCACTATGCTGCACCTTCCCACTATGCTGTATCTTCCCACCCACTATGCTGCATCTTCCAATTCACTATGCTGCATCTTCCCACCCACTATGCTGCATCTTCCCACCCACTATGCTGCATTTTCCCATCCACTATGCTGCACCTTCCAACTATGCTGCACCTTCCCACCCATGATGCTGCACCTTCCCACTATGCTGCACCTTCCCACCCACTAAGCTGCATCTTCCCACTATGCTGCATCTTCCCACTATGCTGCATCTTCCCACTATGCTGCACCTTCCCACCCACTATGCTGCACCTTCCCACGCACTATGCTGCACCTTCCCACCCACTATGCTGCATCTTCCCACTATGCTGCACCTTCCCAACCACTATGCTGCACCTTCCAATGCACTATGCTGCACCTTCCCACCCACTATGCTGCATCTTCCCACTATGCTGCACCTTCCCACCCACTATGCTGCACCTTCCCACCCACTATGCTGCATCTTCCCACTATGCTGCACCTTCCCACCCATGATGCTGCACCTTCCCACTATGCTGCATCTTCCCACTATGCTGCACCTTCCCACCCACTATGCTGCACCTTCCCACGCACTATGCTGCATCTTCCCACTATGCTGCACCTTCCCACCCACTATGCTGCACCTTCCCACCCACTATGCTGCACCTTCCCACCCACTATGCTGCATCTTCCCACTATGCTGCACCTTCCCACCCACTATGCTGCACCTTCCCACCCACTATGCTGCATCTTCCCACTATGCTGCACCTTCCCACCCACTATGCTGCACCTTCCCACGCACTATGCTGCACCTTCCCACCCACTTTGCTGCACCTTCCCACTTTGCTGCATCTTCCCACTATGCTGCATCTTCCCACTATGCTGCATCTTCCCACTATGCTGCACCTTCCTACTGCACCTTCCCACGCACTATGCTGCACCTTCCCACTTTGCTGCATCTTCCCACTATGCTGCATCTTCCCACTATGCTGCATCTTCCCACTATGCTGCACCTTCCTACTGCATCTTCCCATCCACTATGCTGCATCTTCCCACTATGCTGCATCTTCCCACTATGCTGCACCTTCCTACTGCACCTTCCCATCCACTATGCTGCACCTTCCTACTGCACCTTCCCACTATGCTGCACCTAGGAAGGTCTTGTAGTCATTATCACATCATTATCATAATAGTTATCATTGAGCTCACAATCTCTTTTTTTCAAATTCAGCAAGCTGAGGTATATTTTTGGTTCTTTTCTTTCAAATTAAATATCACATAGCCTTCGTGTAAAGTAGTAGGGTGAGCATGTTAATTTGGTTTAATGCCAGTATGAACAGCATTCGTGGAAGCTGGGAATGGAACACAATGATCAGGTTCTGGTATGACTAAGGGTTAGCACACTGCACGGCTTATTGAAGCATGTGAGACAGCAGGGTCACCCTGCAGAGTTTCAGGAAGAAAGTGACACTGTGAAATAGTGAGGCTCAGTAGATTCTGTAGCTCTCCCACCATCTTCAGTCATGTAAGATATAGAATAAAATAGATATATACATTCTGTATCTCTAACTTACTAGAAAATTGATATTGATCTTGTGTGTACAATGTAAAGAGTGGTAAGTGAATGGTATGCTATTGTCCTGAGGGGCAACTAACAGGGAATTGACTGGTTAAACTGTGACCTGGTTGATTGTGCATGGTATTACTCTGACAACATTACATCTTCAGCCTGTTCAAAAACCATGAGTTGTAAGTTTGTTGTCTTAACTGTCTTAATTTAGACATTACTTAAAAAAACAACCAGATAAATTAGTTCCTCATTTCAACTGCCTGAGGAATTAAAACTCTTAAAAATATAGAACTAAGTCTGCTGCCATTTCAATATCCTGATATATATTGTTGTGATAAAAGGTGTCTGTTATCCTTCAAATAGACAAAAATGTAGGTTTTATAACTATATACACATAAAAGAGAATGACTCAAGCCTCAAGACAGGGTCAGGGTCAGGGTCAGGGTCAATGTCAGGGTTAGGGTCAATGTCAGTGTCAGGGTTAGGGTTAGGGTCAGTGTCAGGGTCAGGGTCAGGGTCAGGGTCAATGTCAGGGTCAGGGTCAATGTCAGTGTCAGGGTTAGGGTTAGGGTTATTGTCAATGTCGGGTCAGGGTCAATCTCAGGGACAGGGTCAGTGTTAAGTTCAACACTGTGTCACCTGATGTTCACATGACCCTGAAGTTAAGGTGAACTGACACATAACCCGTCTTATTTTGTACATAAATGTGGAACAACTGAAACAATAGCCTGTGTTATCAGGCTTCCCTTCAAGCCAGAAACACAAACATGCAACCCACTCCCCATATGACACATAAGTTACAAGTGCTTCACATTTCATGATTCAGCTCTGTTGTCAGGGGACTCACACCCAAGTACTGATACCTTTAGGACACTGACAGCTCAGCTTGACATAGAAATACATTTCATACTGAAACAAATTTAAAAAGATTAAATTCTAAGGATAATACATTTTTTGCTCATTAATAATTTTCACATGTCTTAAATATTTACTGTAATTCACACATAAACTGACACAGTTGGAAGAAATTGTGCCAGAGGCTAAAATCAAGGAAAAACACATTATGACAGAAAGTAGAATAAAAGGGAATAAAATACATAGGCAACATAAAATGTTTTACATTATGAATTAAAAAAACATAGTATAAGACAATGCAGGTGTATTAAACACATGTATATCACTAAAATAGTAAGTATTGCACGTTACAGAATTTCCTATTTGTTTCTGAATAAAATAAGACAGATATCCCTTTGCCATCTGCATGGGTGTCCACTGTCGTCCACTCATTGTCAGATGGGGCGTGATTCCGACGGATGACGTTGCGGTGATGGTCTGGGCGTTGGTGACACTGCCGTCGTGCCTGTAGAACCATCACCTGCTGATTGTCATCTGTCCAGCTGGAGATATCTGTGAGAGGTCAACTCCACCAGGAGCTCATTCTCAGCTGGTTCTTGCAGCAAACCTCTGGAATAACACGAAACACTTAATGACCACATGTTGACCGAAGGCATGACCCCTACCCTTCAGGAATAACAGCCATTTCATTGGTGTACTAGCACCCATCTTCCCGAGGCAAGTGAGTTAACTGACTATTGAAGTCCAGTTTCCACCCTTGCCGAACTACACTGGTATTATCCTGTTACTCTTTGGCTGGGCTAAGGAGTCTTTGCATAGTCCAATCAAAATCAAGCAACAAAATCAAAATCCGTAATCTGTTGTGCAGATTTCAGTTGATTGCAGGATTTACAAAGCATGTGAACTGCCAATTCATTGTCAACAGATATTTTCCAAATATTTTCATGTTTTTAATCAAGGTGTTCACATGATTTGATGCATTTTCGCGATGTAAAACCCGTTTTATCACAATATAGATCTTGATTATCGATCAGTTCGTCTTGACTGGGCGCCACCATTTTATTTGAAGTCAATGCAAGTGATATGAGAAGTGGAATCTGATTGGTCCATAGATGGTACATAGAAGGGACTTCCTAGTAAAAGCCACTGGTGGCGCTACGATCAAGCCCAGGAATTCCAGCCTGGTTCGGCAAGGATGGAAACTGGACTTAAAAGTCAGTTAACTCTCTTGCCTCAGGAAGATGACCAGCAGCATACCTTTTGTCTGAACCATATTATTTTCCCTTCCGCCAAGCCCTTACTGTCATACCCGGTTCGCCCCAATTATGTTTCTAGGTTTGTCAGCACCATACCCATGCTTGTGGGTTTCAACGAAGTGGTAAACGTCTGAGACCTGCATCACTTCGGGCTTTCCTCCCACATTAAGCTGACACACCGTGATATAACTGGAATAATGTTAAAAGCTGCGTTAAACCCAACTCACTCACTCACTCACTTACTGTCATACTATAGCCCTAAATGAAGCAAGTCTAGTTTGTCCATAGTCTCCCCTCTCACTGGTGCTCCTTTTCAATTAAAATGGAGTTGTTTGTTTCTACCAAAATTGTATATTTCAGAGACTAAGACTACATGTCATTCCCAGATTCTAACCAGTATTCACACACAGGCAATGAGATTAAACCCTACACTCTGTAATAAATCAAAACATTCATCATCCCTCTTCAAAATAGTGTAGCTGAACAAAACAAGACCATGGAGATGTTTGTAGGTCAAGGCTTTTCTTCCACTTCTGACCACATACAGACATTTACATGATCATTACTCCTGTTGTTAACCTGTGAAGGTCCGGGGTAGAATATGTCTTCAGCAACCCATGCTTGCCATAAAAGGTGACCATGCTTGTCATAAGAGGCGACTAACTAAATCGGGTGGTCATGCTCGCTGACTTGGTTGATGCATGTCATCGTATCCAAATTGCGTGGATCGATGCTCATGATGACAATCATTGGATTGTCTGGTCCAGTCTCGATTATTTACAGGCCGCTGTCGTATAGCTGGAATGTTGCTGAGAGTGGCATTAAACAACAAACAACAACAACAACAACTCCTATTGTTTGATATTGATCATAGTCATAATCTTTAAAAGGGCCGGTCAAAATGTTCTGAGCCTGACTAACTTTCAACTTTCAACTTTCAACAAATGTAGTACATTGTTTCAGTAGTTCATTGCAAGTGTATTTGGTCTGTTGAGGCCATTTGTATATTAGTGACAGCCAATTGAACATGATAGGGGTCCCAAATGGATGCAGAAATGGGAACAAAAAACAAGTCCCGAGCAGTCATCAAGTTTTTTACTTTCGAGTAAAAGTACTCTCCAAGAAATTCACAAGTGTATGGGGATAAGTGCCCACACTATTCCACTGTTAAACCAATGGGCAGCTATGTTTAACGCTGAGAGAACAAGCCTTGATGATAACCCAAGATCTGGACATCCCTCAACTTTCATCAATGAAGATTCAATCAAAGAGATAAAAAAATGTATACTGTCAGACAGACATATTACCATTGCTGAACTTGAGGAAGGAACAGGTCTTAGCCATGGATCCATTGAAACTATTATTCATGAACATTTACAAATGAATAAGATATCTGCTCGTTGGATGCCAAAGTTTCTAAATTCTGATCTGCAGGAAAAAAGAACTGAAATTGCCCGACCTAATTTAGAGCTGATTGAGGAGGATTTCGTCAAATTCAAAAAGAGATTAGTAACAGGTGGTGAAACATGGGTCTACCACTATGATCCCGAGTCAAAACGCAATGCATGGAATGGCAGCATTCTTCTCTGGCACCAAAGAAATTCAAGTCTTCAAGATCAGTGAAGAAAGTTGGCCACTGTATTCTTGGATGCAAAGGGAGTGAGCCTTGTTGATTACTTAGGAAGTCAAAAGACGATTACCGGTTTCTACTATGTTGATTTGCTTGATCGCCTGAGAGATTTTATCAAAGATTTTATGCTGACTGCTGGAGTTCTACTACTTCATGACAATGCCTCTTCTCACACCCTTGAACATGCAAAGGCTGCTGTGCGACAATGTGGGTTCGAAGAGCTTTACCACCATGCCAGACCTGGCACCAAGTGATTTCCACCTGTTCCCTAAACTGAAAGAACACCTTCGTGGAAAGCGCTATGACGACAACTATGACTTCAAAGCTGCCGTGAATTCTGACTGGAATTGAAAAGCTTCACTATCCATATGAGAAGTGCACTGAAAAGCAGGGGATTATGTTGAAAAATAAAATTAAAAGCACTTTTACTATTGTTGATTTTGATTGTTAGCTAGTCTTAGAACTTTTTGACCAGCCCTCGTACACCCCTTTGCGGAATAAAGCCCTTGTATAATTCACAACAGGAACATAACATTTCGTTTACAGACTCATTGGAACATTTCGTGTTCAGTCAGTCACCAAACATTTCATGTACAGAAACTAGCAGGAACATTTGATGTACAGACAGACTCGCCAGAACATCTGATGTACAGACTGACTCACCGGAACATTTCATGTGCAAACAGACCTGCCAGAACATCTGATGTACAGACTGACTCACCGGAACATTTCATGTACAGACATGAGATGATTGGCCTCTTCAACTTGTCCGGATTCAGAGCGATCACGGGAGGTGTGCAGGATCTTGTCCCATTTCATGATGAAGTTCTACAGCAGTAAACAGTACTTGACCTTCTCCACAACACTAACACAATAGTATCCATTTTCAAACATTATTTTTTAACTTAATAAATCTTTGATATTTACTTTTTTTAAACTTCAAAACCTCGACAATAAAAGACTTTCAAAAAGGTTTCATCTTTCTCTGTGAAATGAGGTCCTCTGCTAACACAACGTAGAGACTCAGGGTGGGGCACACGTGTCATCACTGTTCTCAGTTGGTACGGGGGCAGGGGTGACCCAGTCGTCTAAGGCGCTGAGACCTGCATCACTTCGGGCTTTCCTCCCACATTAAGCTGACACACCTTGATATAACTGGAATACCGTTAAAAGCGGTGTTAAACCCAACTCACTCACTCTCAGTTGGTACTCACCAAACAGAAGTTATCTATTAAGTTTGGTATTATGCTTCTTTGAGCATCATTCTTGCATCATTCTAGCCACATCAACAAAGGGCTTCATATGTCTGCCCGAATACAGAATCAAACCCACGGCTTTAGCAGGACAAGGCAATGCCTCAACCACAAGGCTACTCAAACGCCCCCAAACAGATGTGAGACAGTGATGTTTTGTGCTGTAGTCAGCAATATTCCAGCTTTTCATGGCTGCCTGTAAATGACACTGGACACAACTGGGATGAACACACCTGGACACACCTGTGACAGACTCACCTGGACTGAACAAACCTGGGACAGACGCACCTGGAGTGAACACACCTGGGACAGACACACTTGGACTGAACATTTTTGGGACGCCTGGGACACACATGTATGGACACGCCTGGGACACACACCTGGGATTGATACACCTGGGACACACACACCTGGGACGGACACACCTGGGACAGACACACCTGGGATGGACACACCTGGGACAGTCACACCTGAAATGGATACACCTGGGACAGACACACCTGGGACAGTCACACCTGGAATGGATACACCTGGGACAGACACACCTGGGACGGACACACCTAGGACAGACATACCTGGGATGGACACCCCTGGGACAGACACACCTGGAACAGACACACCTAAGACAGACACACCTGAGACAGACACATCTAGGACAGACACACCTGGGACAGACACACCTGGGATGGACACACCTGGGACAGACACACCTGGGACAGACACACCTGGGACGGACACACCTAGGACAGACACACCTGGGACAGACACACCTGGGACAGACACACCTGGGACAGACACACCTGAGACGGACACACCTGGGACAGACACGCCATTGTTTGACAGCATGATCAAGGACTCAGCCCCAGACATCACTTCCTGCATGACCTCATACAGACACTGACACTGTGACTCACCTCCAGGATGAGAGCCGTGAACAGATTGAGAACGATGACAACGGTCAGCAGCCACCAGGCTATAAAGAACAGGTACGCCCACCTGAAACACAGAGATCATTAAAGACACCCTGTCCAACCATCATCATCGAATATCTACAGTCACTATCAGTTATCTGTCTGAAAAGTCAGAGAGAAGTCTGAACCATACCTGCATACCAATCAGCAGTGTTATAAACGTGACACAAATATGTTTACCAGTGTGCAATGTTCCACAAAGCAATCATGGTGCTAAGACAATCATAACTCCAATACTTTACCATAGACTGATGGCAGTCGTAGCACTACAAACATTTTGTGGAACAGTGCCCTGGTGGAATGAATATGTTTACTACTGTGCAGTATTGCATTTTTCATCTGTCAGTGGTCAGCACTGTGATCAACTTCAAATAATGTTCACTCTTGTTATGTGATAATACAAGGGACTGAGCCAGAAGCATGTCTACCAGTATCTAATATTCAACAAACCAAACAATGATGATTCCAAAATTTTCATTACCAACCAACCTCCCATATTGCAAAAACTAACTTATGTGGATCCATATGTGTTATGTAAAAGTCCCAAAAGCAAATGCTGCAATAAATACATTTGTTTTCAAATCAGATTTCAGTTAAATCCCAGTCCTCAATTTGTTGATCAACTGTGAGCCAGTAAGCTACTTACGGAGATGTTGCCTGTCTGAAGGCAGCAAGGAAGACCATCCAGTTATTCACCACCATGATGTCCCACAACACCACCACAGATGCCTGCAACATCACATCACCAGTCTCAACATGTCAGCACTCCAGTCAAAGCACATGTCATCACGAAAATATTCCAAAACACAGACTGGTGTTGATATTACAATGTCTAATGCTCAAACCACAATACATTCATGTCAACAAACAAATATAAAATGTCAACGCCAGAGAATAATCAGTCTCGATTATCTACCAAAACAGGATTCCATTGGGCGTAAAAGAAGAAATAGAAGTGAAAATTATATGAATTGATCACTGAAAATCCGTGATGACAGGTGTTTGCAAAATGGGTAGGCTTGTCCTGCACTACCTGTAGCACCCACCACTCACAGAAACACAGATTCGTGAAGATCCGGGGTAGAATAGGGCTTCAGCAACCCATGCTTGCCGCAAAAGGCAACTATAGCTTGTCATAGGAGGTGACTAACAGGATCGAGTGGTCAGACTCGCTGACTTGGTCGATGCATGTCTTCTTATCCCAAATATGTGGATCAATGCTCATAATATCAATCACTCGATTGTCTCGATTATTTACAGACCGCCGTTATATAGCTAGAATATTGCTGAGTGTGGCATTAAACAACAAACAAACAAACAAACAAGCACACAAACACATGGTATTAGGCTGAGCTAAATCATTAATGACTGAAACAGGAGTAGTAACATCTTTGACTTCTTATCACTCCTCATCCTAACACAAAGCTGCTTGACCAGCCACCAAAATGGGGAGTATAAACCAGTACAACTGTTGGGGCGGTTGGGTAGCCTAGTGGACAAAGCGTTCGCTTGTCACGCTGAAGACCTGGGTTTGATTCCCGACATTGGTACAAGGTGTGGAAGTCCTTTCTGGTGTCCCAGCCATGATAGTGCTGGAATATTGCTAAAAGCGGCGTAAAAACATACTCACTTACTCACTCAGTACAACTGTTGGCTAGCCTGTTTGGTCATTAGTTATAGAAGAGCCTAGAAGCTGTGAGGACCTGAGGATTATCTCTCCCAAGTGAATTTGTAATCACGTGGATGTAGATAATGTTCACTCTTGTTATGTGGTAATTCAAGGGATTGATCCAGAAGTGTCTACCAGTATCTATCTGATATTCAACAGACCAAACTCTGATGATTCCAAAATAAGTGATGACGTTGATATGATATCTCTGACTTGACTTAGAGTGTGGCTTGGAGACCATGACAGATCTAATTTTCAAACAAAAATGTTCCATGTTTGTAGCTTGTGAACTCTGAATGATAAATGTGTGGCATGAGTCAGTCATGTACAAAACTTACAGCAAAGTCATCGAAGTTGTTGGCCCAGTACTCCAGCTGCTGGTAGGAGCCACACTGGAAGCTGGAGCTGGAACAGAAGAAGCACAGAGAATAGTGCTCTCGAATACAGCAGGACCACAACAGGACTACAACAGGACTACAGCAGGACTACAAGAGGAGGACTACATCAGGACTACAGCAGGACTACAACAGGACTACAGCAGGACTACAGCAGGACTACAGCAGGACTACAGCAGAACTTCAGCAGGACTACAGCAGGACTACAGCAGAACTTCAGCAGGACTACAGCAGAACTTCAGCAGGACTACAGCAGGACTACAGCAGAACTTCAGCAGGACTACAGCAGAACTTCAGCAGGACTACAGCAGGACTACAGCAGGACTACAGCAGGACTACAGCAGAACTTCAGCAGGACTACAGCAGGACTACAGCAGAACTTCAGCAGGACTACAGCAGGACTACAGCAGGACTACAGCAGGACTACAGCAGAACTTCAGCAGGACTACAGCAGGACTACAGCAGAACTTCAGCAGGACTACAGCAGGACTACAACAGGACTACAGCAGGACCACAACAGGACTACAACAGGACTACATCAGGACTACAGCAGGACTTCAGCAGGACTACTGCAGGACTACATCAGGACTACAGCAGGACAACATCAGGACTACAACAGGACTACAACAGGACTACAACAGGACTACAGCAGGACTACGGCAGGACTACAGCAGGACAACATCAGGACTACAACAGGACTACAACAGGACTACAGCAGGACTACGGCAGGACTACATCAGGACTACAGCAGGACAACATCAGGACTACAACAGGACTACAGCAGGACTATGGCAGGACTACATCAGGACTACAGCAGGACAACATCAGGACTACAACAGGACTACAACAGGACTACAGCAGGACTACGGCAGGACTACATCAGGACTACAGCAGGACAACATCAGGACTACAACAGGACAACATCAGGACTACAACAGGACTACAGCAGGACTACGGCAGGACTACAGCAGGACTACGGCAGGACTACGGCAGGACTACATCAGGACTACAGCAGGACAACATCAGGACTACAACAGGACAACATCAGGACTACAACAGGACTACAGCAGGACTACGGCAGGACTACAGCAGGACTACAGCAGGACTACGGCAGGACTACAGCAGGACTACAACAGGAGAACTACAACAGGAGGACTACAACAGGAGGACTACAGCAGGACTTTAGCAGGACTACAAGAAGAGGACTACATCAGGACTACAACAGGACTACGGCAGAAAAGCAGCATAAAACCATACTCACTCACTCACAATACTGAGGGTATACATTTGGCCTCATATTCATTGTTTTGTTGAATATTTCATCTTATAACACTCTCCTCAATATACTAAATAATGGAATGAAATTAGAGAATGGTTAAACAATAGTTTGTTAAATTTTGTATGTATCATAAAGAAACCCAGACATAGTATTGTTTCTCAGTCAGTATAAATATCACCATACTGGCATACTCACCTGTTGGTTTCATTCTTGGAGATCGGTGCCTGGTACTTGATGACGTCATGGAACAGCTCCATCCCCACTATAGCGAAGGAGTAGTAGATCACCTGGACACAACAGACATACATATTACAGCACAATGTACGCTTGTCATAAGAGGCGTCTAACTGGATTGGGTGGTCAGGCTCGCTGACTTGGTTGATGCATGTCATTGTATCTCAAATACATGGATCGATGCTCATGTCAATCATGTCTGGACCAGACTTGATTATTTACAGACCACCTTCATACAGCTGGAACATTGCTGAGTTAACAACAAACAAATAAACTGGACAGTGTATCACCCAGGTTAGCTAAGGGAAACTTGGGATAAATTTCACTTTGATATGGTTTTTGACTTCACATTTCTGTACATCACTTGCTTGATAATGGTGTTAGTATCTGCACTAAAAAAAATTGCATTCATTGCAATAAAGAAGTTATATACCGTATTCGACGTAATAAGCGCCCAGGGCGCTCTCAAAATTAGAAATAGGGGGCTCTTATTAGAATATTATTTTGGTAAAAAAACAGAGCTGAAAGATCGTAAATTTCGTGGTTTATGCTGACAGCCTGAAATGTTGACATACGACAGATATATTTTTCCAGAATTTAATTGCCCATAATTAAGGGTGCATATAACACACAAGTGTGTATTATACGCGAATAAATAAGTCTTGTGTACATTGATCAATCGGAAGGGGTGCTGATTGGGATTGTTCACTAGCCAATATATTAGCAAATATCGCTGTGGCACTTATTAGAGCGGGGCGCTTAGTACGTCGAATACGGTAATCCAAATTTGCTGAAAACACATCACACTATATGTTATTCTGAATACTTGCTGCACATCAAATTTCGTAATAAAAAAGGCTGAAATGGCAGTGTAATTGGCAAAAATGACATTGTCACAGTTGAGCAAAGAATTACAAGGAAAATATCATTACTACACGAATGTCTCATCACAACGAGGATATAATAAGTATGTAAATGTATATACATGTATGTAAGTGCCAGTACTTACCACAAGGATACCTGCAAAGGCTTTCAGGTTCTTCACCAGGTCAATGAGGGTGCTTGCTATCACAGAGGTGGCCTGCAGGACAGTCAAGGAGATACAGGCTCACACAAGCGGAATACTAAGGCACACAAGTGTCACTGCAGGACAGTCAAGGAGATACAGGCTCACACAAGCGGAATACTAAGGCACACAAGTGTCACTGCAGGACAGTCAAGGAGATACAGGCTCACACAAGCGGAATACTAAGGCACACAAGTGTCACTGCAGGACAGTCAAGGAGATACAGGCTCACACAAGCGGAATACTAAGGCACACAAGTGTCACTGCAGGACAGTCAAGGAGATACAGGCTCACACAAGCGGAATACTAAGGCACACAAGTGTCACTGCAGGACAGTCAAGGAGATACAGGCTCACACAAGCAGAATACTAAGGCACACAAGTGTCCCACGCATGAAGGCTATGTCACATGCTGTGGACACACACACACACAGATACCCTGTAGGTATACACTGCTACTGACACATGTCAGCAGTAGGGTAGCCTAGTGGTTAAAGTGTTCGCTAATCCCGCCAAAGGCCTCGGTTTCATTCCCCACATGGGTACAAAGTGTGAAGCCCTTTCTGTCACCCACCGTGATATTGATGGAATACTGCCATTCACTCACTCACTCACTCACTCACTCACCCACCCACCCACCCACCCACCCACCCACCCACTCTCACTCACTCACTCACTCACTCACTCACTCACTCACCCATCAACCCACCCACTCACTCACTCACTCACTCACTCACTCACTCACTCACTCACCCACCCACCCACCCACTCACATTTACTCACCCACCCACCCATCAACCCACTCTCTCTCACTCACTCACTCACTCACTCACCCATCAACCCATCAACCCACCCACCCACTCACTCACTCACTCACTCACTCACTCACTCACCCACCCACCCACCCACTCACTCACTCACTCACTCACTCACTCACTCACTCACTCACCCACCCACCCACCCACCCACTCTCTCTCACTCACTCACCCACCCACCCACCCACTCTCTCTCACTCACACACTCACTCACTCACTCTCACTCACTCACTCACTCACTCCACATACCTTGATGTGGGGGATGATGCGGAAGAGCCTGACCATGATGAGGATGTTGATGAAGCGCACGACGTTCCACAACTTGGAGGTGGTGGCATGTGTGTGGCTGCAACAAAACACATCTACCTGTCAATCGTGGCAGTATTCTCACGCCATTAGTAACATGAACAGGTGTATATATATATATATAGACAGACGACGACAATGAAATACTGTTTGATTTTGCTCAGCTGCAGGTATGCTTATTAATTAATGTACATGCCAGTCCGCAGTCTGCTGGATAAGTGATGTTCATAGCAAACCATGCTCTCCAGCACAGCATCTGAGTAAGCGCGCAAAGCACTGAATGTGTGGAAGATGTGCTATATAGGTGCAATTACTATTTGATGAGAGGCTTCTGTCAAATTTAATTCTGCTATCAGCCACTGGTTTTCAGTTTTTCAGGAATACAAGAGTTTTTTTCATATTACCTATTGTAGTACAGTACTTGATGTTCCAATGTTTCACTTCAAACTAACATAATGGAGGTGCAAATGTTAAAATCACACTGAATCAACAGTGATCCAAAGCAAAGTTGTTATGAAAAATTAGACTCAAACTCAACATATGAAAAAATAACATGTGTGATACCACATTGTATGTCAGAACTGAATAAAAGTATGCATTTGTATGCAGAGAAAATGTCCAGGAGACTCCGTGCTTCAGCTAGCAGAACACACACCCATTTATATTTATCGTAATGTAGCGGCCATTAAATTTTCCAGTCTTGTGATGAGATTCAAAAAATACCTTCTGATCAGAGGTAAAAAATCTTGTCCACATGAGAGGTTTAAAATAACCCTGTCAGCAAGATCACAAGGTAAGCATGTCTACTCCCTACTGATACGTTAACATTAAACATTACTTTTACTATGTAGCTATATTATGGTGGTAGTTAATTAATAATGGATCGTAAGGTGAACACTTACTAACCTATTAGATATTTCATGTGGGAGGAAAGCCCGAAGTGATGCAGGTCTCAGACGTTTACCACTTCGGTGGAACCCACGAGCACGGGTATGGTGCTGACAAACCTAGAAACATAATCAGGGCGAACCAGGATTCGAACCCACAATCATAGGTTTCTGGCGTGCCCGAGGGACGCAACTCTGCACAGCGAATCGCGGCACCTTAGACAACTGGGCCACCCGTGCCCCCCTTTGCAATGTTTAGTTCCATATGGTCGTATGTGAATAAACCCATGTGTGCTGAGATTCCTCTTGTGTATTTTATTCAATAATTTTGGAACATAAAACATTATTTTTACCATGTAGCTATATTATGGTGGTAGTTAATTAATAATGGAATAAGGTGAACACTTACTAACCTATTAGATATTTCATATGCAAAATGTTTCTTGTTCTTTATTCAACTTTTATGACACATCAATTAGGATTGATCGATGCTGATTTTCTTCATCGAGTTCGGTAAACAAAGTACCTGTCATTAGTGACTCAAGGGCGGGCAACTCTATATTATCACAGTATGGCTATTTTGTGGTGTGATACGTGTGGATTATGACTATCATAAAATATCATAAAATAGTTAACATGTATACTTACGAGTAGCCATGACATACTGCAATGAGTCCTGTATTCGATCATGCAATGAAACATCGTGCTTAGACTTGCAGAAGTAAAACAAGGGTTGTGGATTACGAGATTTATCGATACTGCGATAATATAGAGCCTGCAATGATAGAGTCATGCTATACAGTCCAGTACTCTGACAGTTTCTCTAGGGCTCACCTTGAAGAGTAGGGGATTCCATACTGGACTGCTGTGAATATCTCTCCTACCTGAAATATTAAAGTGACAAATGAAAATCACATACAGTCACTGTTCAAATGTCTCACTACTAACTCATACATATTAACATCCCATTCTGTCATAAATCTATATATTATTTCATAGTTCATGGATAGCTGGGACATTATTCTGTACACAGACAGATCATGAGGCCCACCCTTGGGGAAATGAAGCGACCTTTGCAATGTTTAGTTCCATATGGTGGTATGTGAATAAACCCATGTGTGCTGAGATTCCTCTTGTGTATTTTATTCAATAATTTATTATTGGAAAGTGAAGGTGGGTTTGAAACAGAAGCACTACCACGCAAATGTCAGGTCACAATACTGGGACGTAAGCTCCAATCTCATTAGAATCAGATCTTAGTTCTCGCTGCCATTAAACAAAGATCTCTAGGATATCCCATTACAGGTCACGTCAGACCGACTTTTCGCAAACTCTAACCAATCAATGGAATTACTGACAAGAAGTCGATATTAGCCAATCAGAAGGCAGCTTTCTCGTGCTTAACGGCACTAATTTAAAATTGGCGACTACGCTTTGAAACATATTATGACAAATTCTCGCTTAAAAATTTGAAACCTGAACAAAAGAACATTCTCCAATGGCTAATATATGGTCTAGATTGTATAGATTCAGTCGTTAAGCCCGTAACTATCGTTCGGAATACCCCGTTTTAAAGTTTTTGAGGCTGCATGATGAGAAATCACATTCCGACTGTCACTTTCATGATCTGGTAAGCGACACTCTGATTGGTCGGATGAAAGGTTGTTCTGACGTGACCCCTAATGGGATGTCCTAAGATCTTTGTTTAGCGGTAGCGAGAACTAGGATTTTAATGAGATTGCATAAGCTCTGGTTTCTTCCAGTGATAGTACACAGTAAGGCTGACAGAGTTGTGCAAATAGTAAAGCTGTGTTGATGTCACTAAATTTTGCAAATATGGCACAGACAACTTCCTTTCTTTCAATACTCTGAAGCAAATTATTTTTCCAAGCATTCTTTTGGACAATGTTTTTGTTGTTGATAAAATCCTAAGGCCTCCCACCAGAATAACCAGAATATCATATGGTCCGTCCCTTAGTAATGTGACATCATATTAGTGTATTACCTCCAAGATGATGTCACTGATTGCTCATGCCAAAACAGTTTCTAAATATAATGGTGTCACAGCCATCTTTTTAATTTTTCTTACATAAAATGAGTACAGCTGTGGGTAATATAATACTCGTCTAAGAATGACTGACACCCAAATGATGACAGAACAACCTACCACTAATGCCATGGTGATGAGAGCATCAAAGATGTTGGTGTAGTACCAGATGTAGCGCCGCGGACCCATGGCCCACACTTTGAGTGTCTGTTCCACAAAGTAGTAGATGACAAACGTGAAGTTGGTCACCTGCATGGATAAACACAACATGTGTTATTCACTGTCTCTGTAACACAATGTGTGACCTCTCTATTTCAGAAGTATCACAGTAATTCTATGAATAGCCGCTTATCACTATCTGAGTAGCGGTATCCATATTTTATCAGTTGAGTTGAATATGGAAAACCCAATTTGAAAAATAATACTTTTATACTGTACTGTGCAAAACTATCAAGCATTTAACAAACTGCATTCTCAACACAGGTATCAGATATAATTAGATGTATCTGAATCAGTCTTATAGAGATTTGAAAAAAACACTGCTACTAACCCTCAACAAAGAATTACTGGAACTGATTGACTCGTCGTAGCGAGTATCAAGCTGCACCTGCAAACACAGAAGGTGAAGGTCATTACAGTCACGGAGGACGTCGGTGTGTTATCAGGAGGTCGAATGGGGTCTAATGTCGTGTTCAAGATTATGGCACTTATATAGTAATGTGTATGCAGGCATGTGTGTCTGTGTATCACCAGTAAGTCCATACTAATGCCGGTTTTAATAAGATACCATACCACAGTTTAACATGGACACTCAGTATCAGTAGCTTGACCCCGAGCCTACCAGTCCTTGTTTTATCCCCGGAGCACCAGGCAGGGTAACAACAAATACATGGCAGGGATTGAACCACCGACCTTCCACTCTCCAGTGAGTGAGTGAGTGAGTTGGGTTTAACGCCGCTTTTAACATCATTCCAGTTATATCGCGGCGTGTCAGCTTGATGTGGGAGGAAAACCCGAAGTGATTAAGGTCTCAGATGTTTACCACTTCGGTGAAACCTACGAGCACGGGTATGGTGCTAACAAACCTAGAAACATAATCGGGGTGAACCGGGATTCGAACCCACATTCACAGGTTTCTGGCATGCCCAAGGGACGCAACTCTGCACAGCGAATCGCGGTGCCTTAGACAACTGGGCCACCCGTGCCCCCTCCACTCTCCAGACAGATGGTCCATCCACCAGACCACGGAGGTGGTTATCTAGACCATCAGCTTTACAAGGGGGTAGGGGACCTATGTGAAACAGGTTTACAGACATTAACAACTTCAGGGCAAACCCACAAACACAGGCAGCAAACCTAGGATCACAATCAGGGTGAATCAGGAATTCTAACCCATGATCACCGGATCCTGGCAGGGCCAAGGGATGCAAACCTGCACAGACGTGGTCACCCTTGACCCCATAAAGGAAATAAAAAACTATGAAATAAAGCATGGAAACAAACCAGACAGGTCATAACAAATATGTGATTTGGTATGACTAGCTCCTGACACTATTACAAGAAGTACATGTATCTATGTAACAATATGGAATATCCATGACATTTGCATGCGATGCTGGAGGTGATGATAACTCTACTCACAGAGATGACAATGACGTTAGCGACGGCGATGAAACTACCGAAGTAGGAGAAGTAATTGTGGACGAACACCCTCTGTATCCTTCTCAATATTGGATTTTCAAACCACCGCACGTCCGGCCTCTGTGAGACATATACTCGTATTAGAGACATGATCAACTCTCAATATCATATATTTATGATAACAACCCTATTGTCATTTTCAATATCAATGACATAACCATGCAACACGTAGTAACATGTTGTTATATTCATAATAACAGATTACCATAAATGTTGTTTGTTTGATAGATTCCAACAAAATTATGTCCAGTCTACCAACAGACCCTATGTCCAGTAAACCCTATGTCCAGTAGACCCTATGTCCAGTAAACCAAATGTCCAGTAGACCCTATGTCCAGTAAACCCTATGTCCAGTAAACCCTATGTCCAGTAAACCCTATGTCCAGTAAACCCTATGTCCAGTAGACCCTATGTCCAGTAAACCCTATGTCCAGTAAACCAAATGCCCAGTAGACCCTATGTCCAGTACACCCTATGTCCAGTAAACCCTATGTCCAGTAAACCCAATGTCCAGTAAACCCAATGTCCAGTAGACCCTATGTCCAGTAAACCCTATGTCCAGTAAACCAAATGTCCAGTAAACCCTATGTCCAGTAGACCCTATGTCCAGTAAACCCTATGTCCAGTAAACCCAATGTCCAGTAGACCCTATGTCCAGTAGACCCTATGTCCAGTAGACCCTATGTCCAGTAAACCCCATGTCCAGTAAACCCTATGTCCAGTAAACCCCATGTCCAGTAAACCCTATGTCCAGTAAACCCCATGTCCAGTAGACCCTATGTCCAGTAGACCCTATGTCCAGTAGACCCTATGTCCAGTAGACCCTATGTCCAGTACACCCTATGTTCAGTAAACCCTATGTCCAGTAGACCCTATGTCCAGTAAACCCTATGTCCAGTAAACCCCATGTCCAGTAAACCCTATGTCCAGTAAACCCTATGTCCAGTAGACCCTATGTCCAGTAAACCCTATGTCCAGTAGACCCTATGTCCAGTAAACCCAATGTCCAGTAAACCCTATGTCCAGTAAACCCTATGTCCAGTAGACCCTATGTCCAGTAAACCCTATGTCCAGTAGACCCTATGTCCAGTAAACCCTATGTCCAGTAGACCCTATGTCCAGTAAACCAAATGCCCAGTAGACCCTATGTCCAGTAGACCCTATATCCAGTAAACCCTATGTCCAGTAAACCCCATGTCCAGTAAACCCTATGTCCAGTAAACCCAATGTCCAGTAGACCCTATGTCCAGTAAACCCAATGTCCAGTAAACCCCATGTCCAGTAGACCCTATGTCCAGTAGACCCTATGTCCAGTAGACCCTATGTCCAGTAAACCCTATGTCCAGTAAACCCCATGTCCAGTAGACCCCATGTCCAGTAAACCCTATGTCCAGTAGACCCTATGTCCAGTAAACCCTATGTCCAGTAAACCCCATGTCCAGTAGACCCTATGTCCAGTACACCCTATGTTCAGTAAACCCTATGTTCAGTAAACCCTATGTCCAGTAAACCCTATGTTCAGTAAACCCTATGTCCAGTAAACCCTATGTCCAGTAAACCCTATGTCCAGTACACCCTATGTCCAGTACACCCTATGTCCAGTACACCCTATGTCCAGTCTACCAACAGACCATACGTCAAGTCTTAAAGTAAGTCCATCTAACATAACATTACAATGGATCCTTCTGGTCTCTCTTCATGCATAACCTTCTGGAGAGAGAATGCTCTTCCCTTACCTATCCCAACACATACACGTTCAGTCAGAGTCGGTGAGCATGGAACAAGATGTCATGTTACCTGATTCTTTGCATGTTCTCTCTCCAGCTCCTCAAACAGTGTCTGGAATTCAGTGGCAGAGTACGACCCCTGGGGATCCTGCATCAGTTCCTGCAACATATGTGATGCTGTAAGTCACATATGAGGGCTGGCTGAAAAGTTCTAAGCCTTACTGTGAAAGACCCGTACCAAGTCGATGGTTTTCACATAGTCCCCTTCCAGGTTTACACACTTTTGCCAGCGATGCTGCAAGGCCTGGCTGTCGGTCAAGAAGAAATTTTCTTCAGCCACCCTAAAAAAGTCCTTCGCGGCAGAAATGATGTCATCATTACTAGGAAAATGGCGACCGGCTAGTTTCTTTTTCATTTTGTGAAACAGGTGGAAGTCTGACGGGGCCAAATCGGGTGAATAAGGGGGATGGTCAATGAGTTTGAAGCCACAATCATGGATCGCTGACATGGTAACCACCAATTTGTGAACAGGAGCATTGTCTTGGTGGAACAGGACTCCTTTAGTGAGCATTCCCCGTCGCTTAGCTTCACGCAACTGTCTCAGTAGGTCAGCATAATATCTTCCATTGATAGTCTGGCCTTTTTCAAGATAGTCAATCAGACAAATACCCTTGGAATCCCAAAAGACTGAAGCCATCACCTTTCCAGCAGAAGGAACCGACTTGTCTTTTGGGGGGGCTGGTGATTCCGGATGCTTCCATTGTTTAGACTGACTTTTAGTTTCTGGTTGAAAGTGATTAATCCAGGTCGCATCCATGGTTACAAATCTGGCCAAAAAATCACCGGGATCTGCTTCAAAACGGCATAAATTGTCACGGGATCTGATCCGCTGTCAAGAGCATTGGCCCCCATCTTGCAGAAACTTTTGTCATTCCCAACTCGTTGGTGATAATGTGCTCAACCCTCTCATGAGAGATTCCCACAACACTGGCAATATGTCGAGTGGTCAATCGTCGATCAGCCATCACCATGTCATGCACCCGGGTAATTTTTTCCTGAATGGTTGCTGTTGCAGGCCTTCCTGGACGCGGGTCATCGTCAAGGCTCTCTCTGCCATGCTTGAATTCCGCAGCCCACTTCTTTACAGTGGAAAAGGAAGGGGCATCATCCCCTAAAGTGGAGACCATGTCAGCATGTATCTGTGTTTGAGTTAGCTCTTTAAGTTGCAGGTACTTGATGACTGCCCTATAGCCAGTTTTGTCCATTTCTGGTGATTTCAATGGGTAGGTTCACAAGATGGTCTGGTACAAAGACAATAATAACACTACAGTTGAAGTTCTTATGTCTACGATTCATTAAATGATTGTATTTGTTGGTGGCAAAAGTTTGTTTCAATCCGATTGAGATATCCCACTTAGGCTTAGAACTTTTCAGCCAGCCCTCACACATTGATGCCGTGGGTCACGTATACATGATGCTGTAGGGGCCGTCCAGGCAAGGCAGAAAAGTGGTTTATACCCTCCTTCCAGTTGTGTTTCGCCATGCTTTTTTTTCTGGTTTGTTTGTTTCAAACAGTATACAGAAGACTCCAAACCAGCATCACATGGTATATTGGGAAGAAATGCCCATTGAGACAGAGTGCTGGTTGATGCACAGAATGCTGATCTTTGATTAGCTTGAACAAAGTGACAGATTAGACAAGGGCCTGTGTCCACAATATATGTAGAGGACAATATGAACCTTCTGATTATCAAGCCTCTGACATAAAAAATGGACATGGAAACAAACTGTGATAATGTGTTTTTGTAAATATTTTATGTCTGTTTCATTTACCTGTACTTATGTCGGGCGTGAGACACAGCATGGCAACATGAACATGGAATTCATTCAGTCTGGATAAGGTGAGGTGAAATGGGGTTAAACGTCGCGTCCAAGATTATTGCACTTATATAGCGACGTGCATGTACGTGTATGTGTGTGTGTGTGGCTGCTTGTACTAGTCCGGACTGATGCCGATTTATAGTGCTAGCACACTGAGATACCATGCCGCAGTTTAACATGAATACCCCACTCAGACACAGTATACTGACTCAGAGCCGACCAGTCCTTGTTTTAGCCCCTTAATGCTGAGCGCCAGACAGGGTAACAACAAGTACCATCTTTTAACGTCTTTTGGTATGACGCGGCTGGGGATCGAACCCCGGACCTTCTGCTATCCGGGCGGACGCTCTACCATTAGACCACGGAGGCGGTCCAGTCTGGATAATGTTTCTGTGATGTCATGTCTGTGTTTCAAATTTGTTGTGTTTTTGTGTATTCAAAAAGTGGAACAAGATCCTCCCTGAAACCTCTTGGCTTAGGAAGCTCAAACTATGCATGGAAGCTCCCAGAAAGTGAACACCACCTTACCTGCAGGAGAGCATGCTTGACAGGCTTGGACAGAAAGGCTCTCTGCACGACAGCTTTCACAACGGGTGCCCCCACCTCCGTGCTGTCACAAACACATAGTGATATATTCAAACAGTCAGGGGAATTATATGCATACACTATTTAGAGATTATTGTATGGCAGTCTTCATATCATATCCCACCTCAACCTGAGACCTCCATATATGATATGAAGAATTGGGTGGTGGGATAGCCTTGTGGTTAAAGCGTTCGCTCGTCACACTGAAGTCCTGGGTTTGATTCCCCACATGGGTACAATGTGTGAAGCCCATTTTCTGGTGTCCCCTGCCGTGGTATTACTGGAATATTGCTAAAAGCAGCGTTAAACCACTCACTCACTCACTCACTCACTCACTGATATGAAGAATGATATGTAAACTGCCATATCATAACCTTTTCATCATATACTATAACATAAAATTGTAAAATGTATCTATTTGCAAGTGAATGCAATACATTTTCACCTTGTTTGGAAGACATTGTCATGGGAAAGCTAGCCGAGCAGACTATCACATGACACACGAAGGGACGCAACTCCAATTAGGAGATAAACCCCCTGTGTTTTGAAATTTGATGTAGTCCCACTGTAGAATAGATACCGCTTTAATTTAATTTTGAACCGAGTGCTTTGGCGATCGCTCATTTAAAATGCACTGACAAGCCATATCAGCCCGGCAGGGGTAGAAATATGGTTCTGATTATTAACTAATTGCACCCCCTGTGATATGACTCTCTATATTGGCTCTATCGCACATGCAACATGCCTCATATCATTGATTGGTATAACTTAAGGATATTAAACCTGGTCCAAGCTGTTCAAATGCTGTTCTCAGATACAATAAAATGGCTGCTTTTGTTTTGGGAAACCATAATCCGTAATACAGATTGGTATCTTTAAGACAAATATTCCAAAACAACCTTATGGCATTGAAATCACTTTTCCAGAAAGAATGAAACGTTTCCCGTGTGAGTTGATTCTCACCTTACAGATGGGAGACAGGAATTGTGCCGGAAACTCAGTTTACGCCGTCTCAAGACTTCAAATGCAGCTCTCACACCAAGACGTCGCCGAAAAAAACTTGCTTGCATGGAATTCTGAAGAGAAGAAAAACAATGTTTGCAAGAAAAGCATCAAAAATATACTGTGCTCTTAACAGAGCTCCAGATAAGCTGCGTATCTGCGTAAAATACGCATCAGAAATGCAGAAATACGCCGTAAAATAAAATCCAAGCGTATCAAATACGCAACGAACATTACACATACGCTACAAAAATAAAACTTGTGCGTATCATCAAAATATTGTGAAGTAACCCTGCGTATTCGAATAGCAAATCAGCAACTTATTTTGAAATTATAAACGGGCATTCCGTCAACCTTGCCAAACTCCATGATGACAGTTACATTATGATCATTTGCCATCACACTTTCTTGTGGAAGTATCGTGGTATTTTTGAGTCCTATAAAGCTCTCGAACCCACACCAGTTTACAGGGACTAGATGAATAGTGTTTTTAAATATTTAACTTAAATACCCACATGTGTAAAAACTAGTGGGTAACAGAAATTTGAATACCCAGATAGAATTACTGTACCCAATGATTTTAAAATGCATGGGTAAAATACCCAAAACACCAAAAGCTTATCTGGAGCTCTGCTCTTAATATGTCCAATCATGGAGGTGAAGAACATAGAACTGAAAAGTGAAAATATGGTTAAATTACACATGGGATATTGACATCTTTGCAATTAGTTTAAGCAGGAGGGACACCACCCTGGTCTTGGTGGTCTTGTGGATAGAGGGGGGAACGGGTGGCCCAGTCGTCTAAGGCGCCGCGATTCGCTGTGCAGAGTTGCGTCCCTTGGGCACGCCAGAAACATAGGATTGTGGGTTCGAATCCCAGTTCGCCCCGATTATGTTTCTAGGTTTGTCAGCACCATATCCATGCTCGTGGGTTTCACCGAAGTGGTAAACGTCTGTGACCTGCATCACTTCGGGCATTCCTCCCACATTAAGCTGACACGCCATGATATAAATGTAATACTGTTAAAAGCGGCGTTAAACACAACTCACTCACTCACTCACTCACTTGTGGATAGAGTGTCCACCAGGAGAGCAAAAGATTGGTAGTTCGATACCATACTAAAAAACGTTATAAGATGGTACTTGTTGTTTCTCTGCCTGATACTCATCATGGGGCTAAGACAAGGAACGGTTGGCTCAGTCAGAATACTGTGTGTGAGTGGGGTATCAATGTCAATACTCAATCACAGTATCTCACCGCACGCACACCGATATAAAAGTGCAATAATCTTTAAAGCAATGTAAAACCCATGTTCACATCACCTCACCTTTTAAACAAGTCTCAATAAGCATAGCAGTATTTGCTTCGCGCTGACTGGCTAATTGGGTGGTGCATGTGTAGGTGAGTGAGTGTGTGTTTGGAGAGAAGTAAAAGACGTTCTTACCAGGAAGTAGCCCCGGAACTGGTTGTAGATCACAGCTGTCAACATGTTCATGAAGCAGTAGAGGCCTGGGAACACCAAGAAAGGTCAGTCATACTCAGTCATACCTATTTGGGGTCATACCCAAGGTACGTCATATTCTGTCCGTCATACACACGGGTGGTATAAAAACAATCCATACTTCAAAGCACATTGAAGGCAGCCTATCAAAGTGATCCAGAAAACTTATTATGAAGTCTTCATTCAATGAAAATCATGGAATATGGCCGATAGAATTACGATTTCAGGAGATCCAAAAAATAACTGATCCTAACGTCAATCAAATATTTACCGTATTTTCTTGAGTATAGTGCGCACCCATGTATAATGCGCACCCCCCTCTAGCGGGTTCAATATTTTGGAAAAAAGAAATTTGAATATTATGCGCAGAATTTTTTTACACCGTACCCTTTCAGCGAAGTCCGGCAAATGAACGGGTGCTGAGAAACTTCGTCAGTACAAATTCGAAATTTGAGATAAAAAATCACCAGACATGGTTATTTACCGTTTAAATAGTATTTATTGTTCTGCTAGGCATTGTTTTATATCTAGGGATTAAGATTACCTTGTGTATTTTCTCGTAAACTAAGCCGGAAACAGCAATCAGCTGTACACACGTTTTCTTGGAATCGACCGGTGATTCGGTCAAGACACACCCAATGATATAACTTTATAGGATTTTTAATGCAAGGATCGGCAACAATTGTATCTGAAACTATTTTTTTTATTAGGAATAATATATTCCTTTATTTTCTTAATTATATGCAGCCTTTACTAAACATATTTAAAATAATAATCACCCTAAGCGAAGCAGCTGATCGCTATTGCCGGGTATTATTTTTTACATGGAACCAGTCTGACCAGTCACCGTCAAGGCTCACGCGCACATGATCGCGAGAATTTCTTGTTGACATAGAATCGTCAAACAAAAACAATTATGACTTTTAACGAGTCAAAGTATGTCATTTATGATATATGTATCCATTCTCTGTCAACTAAAGTTCGTTTCAAGGCATCAATAGCAGTATTCTGACCGGGGTTGCTGTTAATAATGGTGAGTTGTGCGATCTTCCGATCGCTTCACACACGGTATGCCGAAATTAATAAAAACAATATTATAAGGAATTTTGAATAAAATTAATGAAATAAGTTACAAACATAAGTCCAGATATACAAAGAACACTTTTTATAGCCAGACAGTGTAATTACATGATTATTTTGCGTACTTCAGTATGGATTTGTTGACATGGTATTTCCGGTGTTTCGTGCTCACAGTAATGTCTTTCCATTGGGGAAAAAAACATCCAAACTCATAATTCATGTATAATGCGCACCCCCTTCTACACAGCTGTGTTTTTTCGAAAAAAAGTGCGCACTATACTCAAGAAAATAAGGTACTTAAAATGTATGGAAAAAATGGAAAGTAACAGCTTCAACCTGACTGAAACATGACTGGTCAGGCAGAAAAGATCTCATACCAACAATTAAAGGATCTGTATACAAGTGCAAAAAAGTGTATAGCCAGGGTTAAAAATCAACCCATTTGATCATAATAAAAACCATTTGAAATCCTCTATTTCATAACAATGTTGAATTTGTCTTCCTGTTTTACGGTACTGAGATACATTTATGACCCATTATTATAACAACTTCTTGGAACGCTGAAGTAGGAACACTTGCTTACCTATGACGAGGAACAGGATGAAGAACAGCGCATACAGTCGGTTGGTCTGGTAGGCAGGCATCGTCACTATGACAACACAGAATCATGGATTTAGTACATTGTTCCAATAATGGCAGTGTAAGTTCACCATTAAACTTTCCAGTCTGGCTTGGAACATTTCCGAATTTTTGCACCAAAATTTTGCCAGGGTTGTGGACAGAGAGCAATTTCAAACACTGTGCACATTAGATGTAAGATCAGAAATAAAATCAAGAGTGTCCATTTAAGGTTTTCTAGCCTCAATCCTACAATAACAGATTATCCCGGGTCCAGGAATCTGTTGTATCCAGGGAACACACACCTATTTATATTTAGGATCCTCCCAACACTTGCAATGTTAACTATTTGTGACCATTCTCAATTTGTTTGTGTATGGGATGCAATATTTGCATCCCTTAACACAAGGAAATCCCATCTGTAATAAGTATAAAGATTCACAAGTACTTTATTCATTGTTGGTTAGTGATATCATAGCCATCTGACCCCACTATATTCATGGCTGACACTCCCAAACATTTCCTAGTTCCCGAATTGAAGACTAAAAGTTTCAATCTCGCACAGGTCAAAACAGTTGTGTTGCCATGTATACATAAGCAGTGCTGTAGCCAGCCGGGGAGGCAGTTGCCCCCCCTGGATTTTCTTATAGGAAAAAGTTATACTTGACACATGAAAATACAAGTTGGGGACAAGTGATACATGTACAAATATTTGCCCCCCCCCCGGCCTTGATAAGTGTGAGTGTACTGACCGTCTGGGTTGTTGGCCGTGTGTACATAAGTGTGCATGTACTGACCGTCTGGGTTGTTGGCCGTGTGTACGTAAGTGTGCATGTACTGACCGTCTGTGTTGTTGGCCGTGTGTACGTAAGTGTGCATGTACTGACCGTCTGTGTTGTTGGCCGTGTATACGTAAGTGTGCATGTACTGACCGTCTGGGTTGTTGGCCGTGTGTACGTAAGTGTGCATGTACTGACCGTCTGGGTTGTTGGCCATGTATAAGTAAGTGCGCATGTACTGACCGTCTGGGTTGTTGGCCATGTATACGTAAGTGTGCATGTACTGACCGTCTGTGTTGTTGGCCGTGTGTACGTAAGTGTGCATGTACTGACAGTCTGGGTTGTTGGCCGTGTGTACGTAAGTGTGCATGTACTGACCGTCTGGGTTGTTGGCCGTGTGTACGTAAGTGTGCATGTACTGACCGTCTGGGTTGTTGGCCGTGTGTACGTAAGTGTGCATGTACTGAGCGTCTGGGTTGTTGGCCGTGTGTACGTAAGTGTGCATGTACTGAGCGTCTGGGTTGTTGGCCGTGTGTACGTAAGTGTGCATGTACTGACCGTCTGGGTTGTTGGCAGTAGTCAGCAGCACCAGCAAACTCATGAAGGAGTCCAGCAGGGTGCGGAAATACATCGACTCTTGTGTTTGCTGAAACAAATTGAATATGTGCATATTGTTACCAAGACCGCCTCCATGGTCTAGTGATAGAGCATCCGCCCGGAGATCCTGTCTGGTGCTCGGCATTAAGGGGATAAAACAAGGACTGGTCGGCTCGGAGTCAGCATACTGTGTCTGAGTGGGGTATTTATGTTAAACTGTGGCATGGTATCTCAGTGGGCTAGCACTCTAAAATCGGCATCAGTCGACACCAGTACACGCAGCCAAACACACACACCTGCATGAATTTCGCTATATAATTGCAATAATCTTGGACGCGACCCCATTTCACCTCACCTCAACCACATTGCTACCAAAGTACACTTCATGACTGCCACACTATTGAATGTAAAAAATACAAAAGGGAATAAAATTTAAGTTCAAAGTGATTCAAACACCATCATAAAGAAACATTTGTCAGTCCTATATGCAACATGTGTTTCATAGCAATACAAGCTGGTTGTCGGTAAAACAATCATCTGTTCCCAACACAGGATTACTTACACTGGTTGTGATGATGGAAGAATTCTGCTCATCACCGGATACATTTGTGGTGCCATTGTTTGCAGAGGTCTGAAGTGAAATGATATCAATATTATTCAATATCAAATATCCACAATAAGGCTTTCTAACCATATAGAATCATTTAGGAATCATCATTCAAATCTGAAGCCAGTTTCTAATGAAAACACTGCTCTTTTGAAGTGGAGGACTTATAATACCAGGAATGTGTGTGTGTGTGTTTGTTGTTGTACGCTCCACTCAGCAATATTTCAGCTTTATGACAGCGGCCTGTACGAGACAATCTAGTGATTGATATTATGAGCATCAATCCATGCTGGCGGGGTACAGTGACACACGATCAACCAAGTCACCAAGCACCTGACCACCAGATCCATTTACTCAGAGGACTTATTATGGAGAATGTGGTACGTCAATGGTTCGCAATTTGTACGGAGGATCAGCAGTGTGGAACGTCACATATTGGGCATCTTCCCGAGGCAAGAGAGTTAACTGACTTTAAAAGTCAAGTTCCCACCCTTGCCGAACTAGGCTGGAATTCCTTGGCTCGACCGTAGCGCCACCAGTGGTTATTACAAGTTATGTCCCTTCTAAGCCTCTCCTATGGACCATTCAAATTCCACCTCTCGTATCACTTGCATTTGCTTCAAACAAAATGGCGGCGCCCAGTCAAGACGATCTGATCGATAATCAAGATGTATATTGTGATAAAACGGGTCTTACATCGCGAAGTTCATCAAATCACTTGAGCACCTCAATTAAAAACATAAAAAGATTTGAAAAATATCTGTTGACAACGAGTTGGTGGTACCTATGCTTTGCAAATCCTGCAATCGACCGAAATCTGCACGACAGTTTACAAACCGGATTTCGATTTTGTTGTGCGATTTTGATTGGACTATGTATAGACTCGTTAGTCCAGCCAAACTGTAACACCATAATACCAGCCTAGTTCGGCAAGGGTGAAAACTGGACTTTGATAGTCAGTTAACTCGCTTGCCTCGGGAAGATGCATGTTGGGATGGAGGGTGTCCCCAGCAGATAGCTCACCTGGATCTTAGGAAAGAGCAGCATTCCGAACAGCGTGAAGAGATAGATGTGGAGACCAAGCAGAGCCAGCACACTGTCGGGAGGGAGGGACAATCAGATACACATGTCATGCGCATCATACAACACAGTCAACTTAAAGAGGGACTGTGCTCCACTGATGGGGGTCCTGTTTCAAGTTAATATTTTTTGTCTACTTACAAATTGTCTACTTACGGACCGACCATTTGATATTCTGGAGGGGGACCTAGGATTGTATCTAAAAAATATTTTGTCCCAGAAAATTCTTTGAAAAAATAGTTATGCTTCAGACTGTTTAAAAAGAAAGAATTGTCTGCTACAAAGGGTACATTGTTGAAAGGTGTTTTTCATTAAATAAACTCATAGTTTTGATAAAAAAAATAATTGGTTTTGCAGCGGCAGCTGACAAAATATCCAGTCTCCATACAAAATGCCAGCCATCCACCCCTGAGAATAACAGTCAGTCACTTAGAAACCAATCTCATTAAAATCAGACCTCAGTTCTCACTAAGGCTAAACAAAGATCTGAAGACATCCCATTAGGGGTCACGTCAGAACGACCTTTCATCCAACCAATCAGAGCATTGCTTACCAGATTATGAAAGTGACAGTCGGAATGTGATTTCTCATCATGCAACCTCGAAAACGTTAACTCCGAACGACAGTTACGGGTTTAACGACTGAATCCATACAATCTAGACCATCTATTAGCCATTCCAGGATATTCTTTTGTTCAGGTTTCAAATTTGTAATCGAGAATTTGTCAAAATATGTTTCGAAGCGTAGTCGCCAATTTGAATTTAGTGCCGTAAAGCACGAGAAAGCTGCCTTCTGATTGGTCATTCAATTGGTCGTTCAAAATTCGCGCAAGGTCACTCTGATGTGGTCCGTAATGGGATGTCCTCAGATCTTTGATTAGCGGTAACAAGAACTAAGATCTGATTTTAATGAGATTGCTTAGAAACTTACTTTGCAGATACATACAAAAAGTCAGCCTTGGAAGAGTAAACTTGCTAGGTCTGCCATACAACCATGTCGGGTGCTCCTTTAAGTATATACAGTACAATAAATCTAATCTCACAGGATGACACTGGTATTGCTATTTACCAAGTGCACGACACAATTCCTTCATATTCGGAGGAATGGCTGTAGCTACATGTTTAGTCTTAGATGAATGGGTAACAATGGACTCTTTTCTTGTGCACAGTTACTTTGATGTATACTTTCATGATAGTATTTTTCAGATCGTGATCTGACAGAAACAGAATGACGGTCCAATAGATTACAACTTCCCAAAAGTTTGGAAGTTGCCACGACTACAGCCATTATTGTCATAAATGATCAATAAAGTTATTATTATACACCAATGTTGTCTTAACTAAATAATTTGATGCATGTTACTAAAGAAGATAAAAAGAAATTGTTCTGCAATTGGAACCTGGAAAATAATCAGAGACTGTTCAGAAATGGGCACCTAGAAAATAACCAGATATTGTTGTGATTGTTCAGCAATGGGTACCCAGAAAATAATTCGATATTGTTCAGCAATAGATACCAAGAAAATAACCAGATATTGTTGAGATTGTTCAGCAATGGGTACCCAGAAAATAACCAGATATTGTTGTGATTGTTCAGCAATGGGTACCCAGAAAATAATTCGATATTGTTCAGCAATAGATACCGAGAAAATAACCAGATATTGTTGAGATTGTTCAGCAATGGGTACCCAGAAAATAACCAGATATTGTGGAGATTGTTCAGCAATAGATACCCAGAAAATAACCAGATATTGTGGAGATTGTTCAGCAATGGGTACCCAGAAAATAACCAGAAATTGTCGAGATTGTTCAGCAATGGGTACCCAGAAAATAACCAGATATTGTTGAGATTGTTCAGCAATGGGTACCCAGAAAATAACCAGATATTGTTGGGATTGTTCAGCATTGGGTACCCAGAAAATAATTCAATATTGTTCAGCAATGGATACCCAGAAAATTACCAGATATTGTTCAGCAATGGTTACCCAGAAAATAACCAGAGATTGTTCAGCAATGGGAACCAAGAAAATAACCATATATTGTTCAGCAATGGGTACCCAGAAAATAACCAGATATTGTTCAGCCCCAGGTACCCAGAAAATAACCAGATATTGTTCAGCAATGGGTACCCAGAAAATAACCAGATATTGTTCAGCAATGGGTACCTAGAAAATAACCAGATATTGTTCAGCAATGGGTACCCAGAAAATAACCAGAGATTGTTCAGCGATGGGTACCCAGAAAATAACCAGATATTGTTCAGCAATGGGTACCCAGAAAATAACCAGAGATTGTTCAGCCACAGGTACCCTGAAGGCAACCAGGGATTGTTCAGCAATGGGTACCCAGAAAATAACCAGAAATTGTTCAGAGATGAGTACCTAGGACATAAGCAGTCATTGTTCAGAAACTGGTACCCAGAAGATAACCCGAGATAGTTCAGCAATGAGTACCCACAACATAAGCAGGTATTGCTCAGAAATGGGAGGCTAGAAGATAACCCGAGATAGTTCAGCAATGAGTTGAGCAATGGGTACTCAGAACATAAACAGAGCATGTTCAGCAAAGGGGGGCTAGAAGAAGGCCAGATATTGCTCAACAAAGTCTAGATAGAAGTTAACCAGAGACAGTTCAGCAATGTGTACACCTAAGGTCCATCATTTGAGCTGTTATTCCTGACAGCAGTACACAGTCCACTGATCCCACCTGGCCACTTCCGGCAGAGTTCTTCTCAGACAGTTGACGGTTTTCTTCATGATGGTGGAGTTCTGTAGTATGAAGAAGGGTCGCAGTATTCTCCGGAACCGGATGTACTGAAACAAAACAAAATACTAATTTCCAATGTAATAAAAGAGAATCATTTACAAATATTTTAACACATTTCTATATCACCTTTACCTGTTAAGTAATTAAGAAATAAATAATAAAACTCTGCAGGGAGAATAAATCAAGAGGGGCGAGGCCCGATTAATTTATTCTCTCTATCCAGTGTTTTATTGTACGATAAACAATGACCACGAGTCGTTTATAATTTAGATGAGATATCAACATCATGTACATCCTATTTAAGGATGTTGATAAAATGTGCAAGACTCCCTAAACAGAATCCGACCTGGAAATGTCAGACGAGTCCATTTTAAGAACAGGTGGGTTAAGATTGGTATTTCTCGAGTATTCTCACAATCCTCACATTAACTTACCTTTTGTCCCAATACCAATTGTCATATCTACTTTTGGATGCAATCATTCAGCCACTGTGTTTATCTGCGTAGCCCAGTTACACATATGGGGTACAACTTACTAGACACTTCCCTCTCAAAAATAACATTATTCAATATATGACGTCATGAAGCGCATATTTGAATCCCTAAGAATTAAATCATTGTTGGTTTGGTTGGTTTGTTGTTTAATGCTGCACTCAGTAATATTCCAGCTATATGACAGCGGTCTGTAAATAATCGAGTCTGGACCAGACATTCCAGTGATTGATATCATGAGCATCGATCCACGCAATTGGGATCAATGATATGCATCAACCAAGTCAGTGAGCCTGACCACCCGATCCCGTTAGTTTTATCATGAAATAAACCATGCTTCGTTGTTCATTGTGCTTTGTGATTTATCGTATAGCTATCTTTTACGGAGACATAACCATATCTGCATACCAGTTAAGTGAACTATGCCCTTCAGCATGTTCAGGATCCTAGGTATCTCTTACAGTCATCAGTGTCCACAGTTACCCCCCTTACACTGACCTTCACCCCTAGCACCAGGACTACAGAAGGGTAGAATGACACCAGTATTATGTTTGTTTGTTGTTTAATGCCGCACTCAGCATTATTCCAGCTATATGACAGCGGTCTGTATATAATCGAGTCTGGACCAGACAATCCAGTGATTGACATCATGAGCATCGATCCACGCAATTGGGATACTATGACATGCATCAACCAAGTCAGCAAGCCTGACCACCCGATCCCGTTAGTTGCCTCTTACGACAAGCACAGTCGCCTTTTTGTTGTTTAATGCCGCACTCAGCATTATTCCAGCTATATGACGGCGGTCTGTAAATAATCGAGTCTGGACCAGACAATCCAGTGATTGACATCATGAGCATCGATCCACGCAATTGGGATACTATGACATGCATCAACCAAGTCAGAGAGCCTGACCACCCGATCCCATTAGTTGCCTCTTACGACAAGCACAGTCGTCTGACACCAGTATCAAAGATGTTTAGTGTCAATGGTGCTTCAATGAGGTCAAAGGTCAGGTCCCAAACATATTCCATCCAAAAGGATATTCCCCCCACTTTGATAGGGATATTTCTATTTTTCCATGATAGACAAAACTGATTTCTTATATGTCCTGTGTATATTCAAGTAGAATGACATATCTGATTATCAAGAGTTGAGATGTATATTTACATTACTCATTTACTTATAATTTGAATAATGTTTTGTGCACATCATTTGTTCCCCTCTTCACTCATTCCTTCCCTCACCCCATACCTCCTGACATCCTAGACCGACTGACACGGACCAGTCCAGCAGGGACACAGCGATGATGATGGAGCCAGCCACCAGCCACTTGTGTCTCCAGAAGTAGTGCTTGCCCATCACATAGCCCTGGAACAACATGGACATTCATCACATAGCCCTGGAATAACATGGACGTTCATCACATAGCCCTGGAATAACATGGACATTCATCATATAGCCCTGGAATAACATGGACATTCATCACATAGCCCTGGAATAACATGGACATTCATCATATAGCCCTGGAATAACATGGACATTCATAACACATCACATAGCCCTGGAATAACATGGACATTCATCACATAGCCCTGGAATAACATGGACATTCATCATATAGCCCCGGAATAACATGGACATTCATCACATAGGCCTTTAATAACATGGACATTCATCATATAGCCCTGGAATAACATGGACATTCATAACACATCACATAGCCCTGGAATAACATGGACATTCATCACATAGCCCTGGAATAACATGGACATTTATTACCCATCACAAAGGCCTGGAATAACATTGACAATTATAACCCAGCCATGGAATAACATGGACATTCATCAAATAGCCCTGGAATAACATGGACATTCATAACCCTTCACATAGCCCTGGAATAACATGGACATTTATCATATAGCCCTGGAATAACATGGACATTCATCACATAGCCCTGGAATAACATGGACATTCATCATATAGCCCTGGAATAACATGGACATTCATTGCCCATTACATAGGCCTGGAATAACTTGGACATTTATAACCCAGCCATGGAATAACATGGACATTCATCATATAGCCCTGGAATAACATGGACATTCATAACCCATCACATAGCCCTGGAATAACATGGACATTTATTACCCATCACATAGCCCTAGAATAACATGGACTTTCATACCATCACATAGCCCTGGAATATCATGGACATTCATACCATAACATAGCCCTGGAATAACATGGACATTTATTACCCATCACATAGCCCTGGAATAACATGGACATTCATACCATAACATAGCCCTGGAATAACATGGACATTCATACCATCACATAGCCCTGAAATAACTAGACATTTATTACCCATCACATAGCCCTGGAATAACATGGACATTCATACCATCACAGAGCCCTGGAATAACATGGACATTTATTACCCATCACATAGCCCTGGAATAACATGGACATTTATTACCCATCACATAGCCCTAGTATTACATGGACATTCATACTATCACATAGCCCTGGAATATCATGGACATTCATACCATAACATAGCCCTGGAACAACATGGACATTTATTACCCATCACATAGCCCTGGAATAACATGGATATTCATACCATAACATAGCCCTGGAACAACATGGACATTCATACCATCACATAGCCCTGAAATAACATGGACATTTATAACCCATCACATAGCCCTGGAACAACATGGACATTCATACCATGACATAGCCCTGGAATAACATGGACATTTATTACCCATCACATAGCCCTGGAATAACATGGACATTCATACCATAACATAGCCCTGGAATAACATGGACATTCATACCATCACATAGCCATGGAATAACATGGACATTCATACCATCACATAGCCATGGAATAACATGGACATTCATACCATCACATAGCCATGGAATAACATGGACATTTATTACCCATCACATAGCCCTGGAATAACATGGACATTCATACCATCACAGAGCCCTGGAATAACATGGACATTTATTACCCATCACATAGCCCTGGAATAACATGGACATTCATACCATAGCCCTGGAATAACATGGACATTTATTACCCATCACATAGGCCTGGAATAACATTGACAATTATAACCCAGCCATGGAATAACATGGACATTCATCATATAGCCCTGGAATAACATGGACATTCATAACCCTTCACATAGCCCTGGAATAACATGGACATTTATCATATAGCCCTGGAATAACATGGACATTCATCACATAGCCATGGAATAACATGGACATTCATCATATAGCCCTGGAATAACATGGACATTTATTGCCCATTACATAGGCCTGGAATAACTTGGACATTTATAACCCAGCCATGGAATAACATGGACATTCATCATATAGCCCTGGAATAACATGGACATTCATACCATCACAGAGCCCTGGAATAACATTGACATTCATACCATCACATAGCCATGGAATAACATGGACATTCATACCATCACATAGCCATGGAATAACATGGACATTCATACCATCACATAGCCCTGGAATAACATGGACATTCATACCATCACATAGCCATGGAATAACATGGACATTCATACCATCACATAGCCATGGAATAACATGGACATTCATTACCCATCACATAGCCCTGGAATAACATGGACATTCATACCATCACAGAGCCCTGGAATAACATGGACATTTATTACCCATCACATAGCCCTGGAATAACATGGACATTCATACCATGACATAGCCCTGGAATAACATGGACATTCATACCATCACATAGCCCTGGAATAACATGGACATTCATACCATCACATAGCCATGGAATAACATGGACATTCATACCATCACATAGCCATGGAATAACATGGACATTCATTACCCATCACATAGCCCTGGAATAACATGGACATTCATAACCCATCACAAGCTGAAAAACATATCATACCTTTAATAAAACTCTTTGACCATACTTCTCAGTGAGATATATATGTATAAACTTTGATAATGTGTAAATGTAAGCACAACCGATGACAACCCTCAGCCACACTTCTAGGAACTATGATCATGATGATTATATACTCAGAATAACCAGATTAAAATTAAGGTTGGAAAGAAACTAGATTCCACCCACCCTGATGACTGTGTCTGCCAGCAAGAGCAGGAGGCACAAGATCTCGATGCCCTCCGTCAGCCAGCAGGGCACAATGAGGCGACTGGCTCGGAAGCGTATATCAGAGGTGAGAGTGAGAGAGGATGGGTATTCAAATATCACCAGAATGTGGAGTATAAATATCACAACATAGCGGAATCTGAAACAACCAAAAGGCAAAACATATATTATACCACGAATTCAAACACCTTGTCATATAATGCAGCTGCAGATCTTCAAAGTCTTTTCAACTTATCATGTATATTAACTGTCTTGTTTCGGCATACCGTATTCGACGTAATAAGCGCCCACGGCGATATTTGCTGATATATTGGCTAGTGCACAATCCCAATTAGCATTAGTATCACCCCTTCCGATAGATCAATGTACACAAGACTTATTTATTGGTGTATAATGTGCACTTGTGTGTAATATGCACGCTTAATCATGGGCAGTTAAATTCTGAAAAAATATATCTGTCGTATGTAAACGCATGTAAACATTTCAGGCTGTCAGCACAAACCACGAGATTTACGATCTTTCAACTCTGTTTTTTTTCACCAAAATAATAATCTAATAAGAGCACCCTATATCTAATTTTGAGAGCGCCCTGGGCGCTTATTATGTCGAATACGGTAAGTATTTCTGCAATACCCAAGTCTGTGACTAAACAATTCAAACTTGTTCACAAATTTGCCGGCAACATCCGTGTATTCCCCAATATACTCACATCTTGACAGGTGTGGAGAGATAGATTCAGGGTGACTCCCCCCAATATACTCACATCTCGACAGGTGTGGAGAGATAGATTCAGGGTGACTCCCCCCAATATACTCACATCTCGACAGGTGTGGAGAGATAGATTCAGGGTGACTCCCCCCAATATACTCACATCTCGACAGGTGTGGAGAGACAGATTCAGGGTGACTCCCCCCAATATACTCACATCTCGACAGGTGTGGAGAGATAGATTCAGGGTTACTTCCCCCAATATACTCACATCTCGACAGGTGTGGAGAGATAGATTCAGGGTTACTTCCCCCAATATACTCACATCTCGACAGGTGTGGAGAGATTGATTCAGGGTGACTCCCCCCAATATACTCACATCTCGACAGGTGTGGAGAGATAGATTCAGGATCACTCCCCCCAATATACTCACATCTCGACAGGTGTGGAGAGATAGATTCAGGGTTACTTCCCCCAATATACTCACATCTTGACAGGTGTGGAGAGATAGATTCAGGGTCACTCCCCCCAATATACTCACATCTCGACAGGTGTGGAGAGATAGATTCAGGGTGACTCCCCCAACTATACTCACATCTCGACAGGTGTGGAGAGATAGATTCAGGGTGACCCCCCCCAATATACTCACATCTCGACAGGTGTGGAGAGATAGATTCAGGGTGACCCCCCCCAATATACTCACATCTTGACAGGTGTGGAGAGATAGCTTCTGTACAGGTGGAGAACAGGAATTTCCAACTTGTGGCATATTGACCGGTACTGGAATCAGAGACATGGAAAACTTCAAGATGTCATCATAATTTCCACTATTCTCTCTCAAGTCTCAGTCAACCATTCACATGCATTTAATACCAGTTGATATGCTAAACTAAAACCATTGCTGCAATCAATCATTAATAACGGACATGTTCATTACTCCTAAAATGCTGCAATTATGTTCATCACTGCTCGTAGCATACCGTACTGTCATGTTAAGGCCAAGTGCCTTAAAACACTTAGATCAATCACCAACATTTTGATATGTAGGCTGATGAGCCTTGTCCTTTGCTATTATATAAAAAAAGAGCTGTATTTATTTCGGGGGGGGGTCTTTGAAAGGCATTTAGAAGTGATTCACATAAGGAAGAGAATATATGGATGTCAACTTCTATATTATGACACAACGTTCAGCTTTATTTTCGCACATTCTGTAGATTTCTCTACAACTTTTAATTGTTTCATATGCCATATAACCAGCAAGTATGTCTTAGATTGGTTCCTGAATGTATATCAGCTGCATCATCTTTAAAAAGAGAAAGATAATTGCAAAACATTCAGATACTCTATTTCTTGCCAGAAGCCATGTCGGAATAACCTTCTGTTTATGATCAATGATATCTTTGCACAATACAGGGTACCCACCTTGTAAGCATCTTCAATAAACACTACAGCTTGTAAAATAGTAACCAGGTCTGCAAAGTAAACACAAACATGTAAACATAAAAAACATACATCGAGAGGAGTTAGGTCCTTATGATATATTCAATGTGACTGGTGAATAGAGTGGAGTTAGGTCCTTATGATATATTCAATGTGATTGGTGAATAGAGTGGAGTTAGGTCCTTATGATATATTCAATGTGACTGGTGAATAGAGTGGAGTTAGGTCCTTATGATATATTCAATGTGATTGGTGAATAGAGTGGAGTTAGGTCCTTATGATATATTCAATGTGACTGGTGAATAGAGTGGAGTTAGGTCCTTATGATATATTCAATGTGATTGGTCAACAGAGTGGAGATAGGTCCTTATGATATATTCAATGTGACTGGTGAATAGAGTGGAGTTAGGTCCTTATGATATATTCAATGTGATTGGTGAATAAAGTGGAGATAGGTCCTTATGATATATTCAATGTGATTGGTCAACAGAGTGGAGATAGGTCCTTATGATATATTCAATGTGACTGGTGAATAGAGTGGAGTTAGGTCCCAATGATATATTCAATGTGACTGGTGAATAGAGCAGAGCTAAAAGTCCTACTCATATATCTGATAACATTGGTCAATAGACTGAGGAGTCCTCATGATATTAATGGTAATACTTGTCACTAGAGTAGAGATAAGTCCTGTTCATATATCTGATAACATTGGTCAATAGACGGAGGAGTCCTCATGATATTAATGACAATACTTGTCACTAGAGTAGAGATAAGTCCTGTTCTTATAAAATTGATAACATTGGTCAATAGAGTGAAGAGTTCACATGATAATTATGATAATACTTGTCACTAGAGTAGAGATAAGTCCTGTTCATATATCTGATAACATTGGTCACTAGAGTGAAGAGTTCACATGATAATTATGATAATACTTGTCACTAGAGTACAGATAAGTCCTGTTCATATATCTGATAACATTGGTCAATAGAGTGAAGAGTTCACATGATAATTATGATAATACTTGTCACTAGAGTAGAGATAAATCCTGTTCATATATCTGATAACATTGGTCAATAGACGGAGGAGTCCTCATGATATTAATGATAATACTTGTCACTAGAGTAGAGATAAGTCCTATTGATATATCTGATAAAATTGGTCACTAATGATAATTCTGGTCACTAGAGTGGAGACAAATCCTATTGATATATCTGATAACATTGGTCACTAGAGTGGAGACAAGTCCTACTGATATATATGATAACATTGGTCACTAGAGTGAAGAGTTCTCATGATATTAATGATAACATTGGTCACTAGAGTGAAGTGTTCTCATGATATATATGATAACATTGGTCACTAGAGTGAAGAGTTCTCATGATATTAATGATAACATTGGTCACTAGAGTGAAGAGTTCTCATGATATTAATGACAACATTGGTCACCAGAGTGGAGACAAGTCCTATAGATATATCTTATTATAATGGTCAACAGAGTGAAGATGTTTATTGAGACTCTTTTGGTTAGATCAGAGGCAAACATTCTTTATGTCTGATATGCATGACCAATAGAGCAGACACAAGCTCTTTTAGCATACCTCCATGTCAGAATGATGTGATCTGATTGGTCCATGTGATCTTGATAAAATACTGTGTTAACTCCCCTTCGAGGGTAATAAATTTCTCAGCGGGGGAATAAATCTTGTAAACCTCGCCACGAGCAATACAAGCTGCACATGCATTTCTGAGAGACAGAGTAAATCCCCTATAGACATGGATCATTGATTGCTACTAGACTATGGGCTGTTATTGCTTTTGTACATGGAGCACTAGAGTGAGTGAGTGAGTGAGTAATTACATAGAGAATCTCACCCCCGTGTCTTTTGATATCAAATATATCAACACGAGTTGATAAAAGTGGAAAAATTCTGAGGCTTGCCGAGGATTTTTGACACTTTTATCAACGAGTGTTGATATATTTGATATCAAAAGACACGAGGGTGAGATTTTATTTATCATCCAACATCATTCTTTCAACTTTTTCAACTTGTAGACAGTAATTAGCAGTGTCTTCAGTGTAAGAAGTACTGCAAACAGCTTCAGTAGCAGAGCCATTAGTGATGTCATTTGATTGTGACGTCATGGTAACCAAGCATTGTGATGTAATTTCATTGCAGCGATAACTACAGTGTAGATATCGGTTAATCTCATCCAAGCCATATCTCATGTGGGAGCCAGTTTTGGATGATAAATATAGAATACTAAACGAGCTCCCGTGTAATACCAATTTTTACGAGTGAATAGTTCTGGTATCTGACGAGCAAAAGCGAGTCAGATACCACAACTATTCACGAGTTTCATAAAATTGGTTTTACACGAGAGCGAGTTTAGTATTTTATTTATTACTTGTCATTTATAATGTTTTTAGAATTATACTGTTGAGTGTAAATAGGCTGACACCTACACGATCCATGGCATAATCCAATTGAGTTTAACAGAATAATACTTCAAACACGTCAAAAGTTGAAACGTATGAATTTAATATCATACAATGGTCCACCTTTAGAATTCAGGCGTTCGTCCCACAAAATTATCGTAGTGCTGAGGCTATCACAACTCACATAATTTAACTTAGACTAACGACTGTCGCTAGAGTACGATCGCCTTGTGGAACGGGGCCTTGCACCTCAAAGTTTACAATCCCGTCACAATACCCGATGACGTAATTTGTTGAATTTTGTTGCAAGTTCCATCGGCGAAACAATGCCATGTGACGTCAGCCTAGCAACAAGGTTGCTGGGGTCATCGAGTGTGCATAAGCTCCTCCCAGTGATCTATCATCTCCACACACAATGTCGTTGAATACGCCAAGGGATGTTGAGAGCTTTCAATATTTGTTCGTGAAACGTGTTCCAAGAGTACATAAGCACGCGTGTGTATAAAATGTGTAATAAAGCTGTATGTTTATTAAACGGGTGATCTCTTCACGGGCAAGTAATAAAGGTAATTAATCAACGTGATGATTGTGAGAATATATGAGAAATACCCACCTGTGCATAAAATGGATTTGTCCGACATTGATGAGGTCGGATTCTACTGAGGGAGTCATCAGAATTTAGAAATACGGGTAAATATTTTCAAAGCTTGTACATTTTATCATCACCCTTAAGAGGCTGACGCTTCTTAAATACTGTCGCTAGTGTCAGCACAGTCAGAGGCTCACTTGCGAACTATGACAGACTTACCTAACCCTGCAAACTGATCATGTACTTCGTTGGCAGCGGTGTCCACCTCTGTGAGACTGGGTGCGATGTACCAAGTTGTCCCCCTCACCGACTCAGACGGCGAGTCTCCGCCCCTACTCCCCTGCAGCGGTTCCACCACAGGAGAGGGGGTCGTCCTCGATGCATCTCCTACCCCAAAGTCACCTGAGTTGAGACTGAGGTTAACATGTTCATCACCTTCAAGTGGTTTGATTTGATGAATATCCATTTATTCACCCTGTCAAGAGCTGACACCACAAGGCATGACTCGGTTGTCCACCCTCTCCCCTTTAATATCAACATCCGGTTTTCTTCCGTAAAGGGAGACTATTCAGTTCAGATTACACTCACGTTCGTTGCAAACTTGATGCTGCGGACGTTCGAAGGTCGATTCCTATCAACCACAAAATTTAAGGTGAAAGTTATTGTAATTGGTAGAGGCTGCGTAAAATACTTACCTTTTCACTGGGTCTTGCGGATTTTAAAAAATAGATAGGATGGTTATCGAAAAAAAGTATTTCTTTGAAAACATGTTATTTTTTGGTTTTGTTTTTTTAAAAAGTCAAGTATATTATCGGCGGGGTGAAAGCCTGAAAAGAAAAAAGATAATCTCTTCGCCCACCGGCCTTCGTTGAAGTAGAGAGTGAGAATGGTTTTAGCATTTAGCAATATTCCAGCAATATCACGGCTTGGGACACCAAAAATGGGTTTCACACATTGTACCCATGTGGGGATTCGAACCTGTTATGAATCTACATCGAAACGTCGCTATATGCAATAAACCAGACGTTGTTTTCATAAAGTTGTATGTTTTCTTACTTATATGATAGAGAACAACGAAAATAACATATTTCCCGGCAGTACATCCAGTTCTACATATACAGTCAAACACCGTTGTGTCGGACCTACGGACATACTTCGAAGTTCGACACAACCGAAAATGATCAATAAATGAGGAATACGCAGGGACCCAGCTTCTACTTCAAGACAGCCATAAGTTCGACACATCAAAGTACGATACAGCGGTGCTTGGCTGCATTTTCGAATATAAAATGCATATGTATATCATTATAATAACAACGAACATAACACGTCTCCCTGCAGAACACCTAGTTCTATCTATTCTACCGACTAAACAATTAACATAGATGTGTACATTTTTTTCGGTATTTGAGGCCGCGTGGCCCACTGTGCAGATGTCATTTCAGTGCCATTTCTTTAGTCAAGTAATACATGCGATATTCAAAAAATATCTGACAGAGAATATGTTTCAACAATATGGCGTGTGAAAAATAACATCAGAGTTGTTGGATTTTATAAGACTGATCATTAATATCTTGTTTTTTTATGCACATCGTTAAACTTCGGAATATACTTTTCTCTAAGATGTCCTTACTTATCACATTCTATAAGACATTATATTCATCCTCTATCTCCCCAAATTAACATTTTTACGGATACTCATTCCAATTCCTCTTTTTTTCATATCTACGTCAAAACTTTACATTGAAATTGTGTAACGATTTATCATCTAACATACGTATATTTTTTCTGGTTCTACGGCAGACTTAATATCACTGTAATGGCCCAGGAAACGCGAAGAAGATATACTGTAATGTCAGTTTGGACTATAAATAGCTGTGACCTTTGTTTACAAGAGCACAAGAACAAATTTGTGTCTCCCACATCTTGGGAAATCCACACAAATGAATAAAACCACATGAAAATAATTAATATCTGACATTGGACGCCCAATTCATTTTACCATTGTCATAAGATGTCAGTAGTTTATAAAACTGATATATCTTTGCGACCACATCCTTAGACCATTGTCTTGCCATTCGAAGATGATTTAATATATGAATGGGAGAGCAACTATCGACTATATACTGTATATGTATCATAGATAACAACGAACATAACACATCTCACTGCAGTACATCCAGTTCTACACGATTAACTATACAGTGTACATATGTATCATAGATAGCAGCGAACATAACACATCTCACTGCAGTACATCCAGTTCTACACGATTAACTATACAGTGTACATATGTATCATAGATAACAGCGAACATAACACATCTCACTGTAGTACATCCAGTTCTACACGATTAACTATACAGTGTACATATGTATCATAGATAACAGCGAACATAACACATCTCACTGCAGTACATCCAGTTCTACACGATTAACTATACAGTGTACATATGTATCATAGATAACAGCGAACATAACACATCTCACTGTAGTACATCCAGTTCTACACGATTAACTATACAGTGTACATATGTATCATAGATAACAGCGAACATAACACATCCCACTGCAGTACATCCAGTTCTACATGATTAACTATACACTGTACATGTATCATAGATAACAGCGAACATAACACATCTCACTGCAGTACATCCAGTTCTACATGATTAACTATACAGTGTACATATGTATCATAGATAAGAACGAACATAACACATCTCCCTGTAGTACTTACAGTTCTACATGATTAACTATACAGTGTACATATGTATCATAGATAACAACGAACATAACACATATCACTGCAGTACATCCAGTTCTACACGATTAACTATACAGTGTACATATGTATCATAGATAACAGCGAACATAACACATCTCACTGCAGTACATCCAGTTCTACACGATTAACTATACAGTGTACATATGTATCATAGATAACAACGAACATAACACATCTCACTGCAGTACATCCAGTTCTACACGATTAACTATACAGTGTACATATGTATCATAGATAACAGCGAACATAACACATCTCACTGTAGTACATCCAGTTCTACACGATTAACTATACAGTGTACATATGTATCATAGATAACAGCGAACATAACACATCTCCCTGCAGTACATCCAGTTCTACATGATTAACTATGCAGTGTACATGTGTATCATAGATAACAACGAACATAACACATCTCACTGTAGCACATCCAGTTCTACACGATTAACTATACAGTGTACATATGTATCATAGATAACAGCGAACATAACACATCTCACTGCAATACATCCAGTTCTACACGATTAACTATACAGTGTACATATGTATCATAGATAACAGCGAACATAACACATCTCCCTACAGTACATCCAGTTCTACACGATTAACTATACAGTGTACATATGTATCATAGATAACAGCGAACATAACACATCTCACTGTAGTACATCCAGTTCTACACGATTAACTATACAGTGTACATATGTATCATAGATAACAGCGAACATAACACATCTCACTGCAGTACATCCAGTTCTACACGATTAACTATACAGTCTACATATGTATCATAGATAACAGCGAACATAACACATCTCCCTGCAGTACATCCAGTTCTACACGATTAACTATACAGTGTACATATGTATCATAGATAACAGCAAACATAACACATCTCACTGCAGTACATCCAGTTCTACACGATTAACTATACAGTGTACATATGTATCATAGATAACAGCGAACATAACACATCTCACTGCAGTACATCCAGTTCTACACGATTAACTATACAGTGTACATATGTATCATAGATAACAGCGAACATAACACATCTCACTGCAGTACATCCAGTTCTACACGATTAACTATACAGTGTACATATGTATCATAGATAACAGCGAACATAACACATCTCCCTGTAGCACATCCAGTTCTACACGATTAACTATACAGTGTACATATGTATCATAGATAACAGCGAACATAACACATCTCCCTGTAGCACATCCAGTTCTACACGATTAACTATACAGTGTACATATGTATCATAGATAACAGCGAACATAACACATCTCCCTGCAGTACATCCAGTTCTACACGATTAACTTAACAGTGTACATATGTATCATAGATAACAACGAACATAACACATCTCACTGCAGTACATCCAGTTCTACACGATTAACTATACAGTGTACATATGTATCATAGATAACAGCGAACATAACACATCTCACTGCAGTACATCCAGTTCTACACGATTAACTATACAGTGTACATATGTATCATAGATAACAGCGAACATAAAACATCTCAATGCAGTACATCCAGTTCTACACGATTAACTATACAGTGTACATATGTATCATAGATAACAGCGAACATAACACATCTCACTGCAGTACATCCAGTTCTACATGATTAACTATACAGTGTACATATGTATCATAGATAACAACGAACATAACACATCTCACTGCAGTACATCCAGTTCTACATGATTAACTATACAGTGTACATATTTATCATAGATAACAACGAACATAACACATCTCACTGCAGTACATCCAGTTCTACACGATTAACTATACAGTGTACATATGTATCATAGATAACAACGAACATAACACATGTTATAAACTACCGACTACGACTTTTAACAACGAGCAGAGCACACAATGCAACCAGTTCACCGCAATGCTCTGTGTAGTGTTGCGTCCCGGATCGTTATATTGGCTCCCACCGCTGCCAACGCTGCTATCACGTCAGGTTGGGTTACTAGAACTGGTTTAGTTGTGATTCAACAGGACAAGAGATAACTCATTGTTATATATCAACTGTATTGGCACACAGACGCCGAACAAGCGCAACCAAACAAAACAGTAATTTGAACGAGAGGAGATAACTCCCTTTACTAATAAACATGCCAAGTACCGGGTATACCTGCTTGGTGTGTGGGTTGCACGAAAGTGGCCAAAAGATCTAAGATCTGTATCAGACCCTCCTAAAATAAGCTGTCACGCCCTGATAAAGTGTCGTTAAGGGCAACTCAATTACTGACTCATCTCCCTACATTAAATTCAGGTTTATATACACTATCGATTTTTGTATATATATATGGTTCATAATAATGAGGGGAGCATATGATCATTAAGTCCCAAATACCCCCGACACAACTACTGCAACCATCATCTATCAAAACCATGTCGACTATCAGCGCCCACAGTGTGTATCACCTGGGACACTATAGTCACGTGATTCGGCGTCATTAAACGTGCTTCCCATTTAGTTGAGCGCACTGCAACCAACAGGCTTCTCGGAGCGGTGAATACAAGGATTATACTCTGTCAAGGTGAGACACCCGTATATCAAAGTTTAATTAAAACGTAATACTTACTGATGCCTGTGGTCACGGCTTGGTTAAATATACACTGGAGGTCTACCGGTATTTGATTCTGAAAGTGATGAAGTGAATCTCTCTTTTTAACATTTCATTTATTATCACTCTCACGTGCATACAATTATGTTGCCAAGGTAA